TCAAGAAAGAAAGAACAAGACAGCAATTAATAACAGACGATCGAGAGCAGAGAAAATCTGGACATAAACTGAATACACGGAATGAAACAAGCAAGTGAAGAAGAGCATTAGAGCTGACAAGCAGAAATACCTAGAAGAGCTAGCAACGTCAGCGGAAAAATCTGCAAGAGAAGGAATTATGAGACAACCGTGTGACACAATGAAGAAACTAGCAGGGAAATGTAGTAAACCAGAGAGACCGGTCAACGACAAACAAGGCGAGAAAATCATCAAGATTCAAGAACAGAGGAACAGATGGCTAGAATAATTCGAGAAACTCTTGAATAGACCAGCTCTATTGAATCCATTTGATATCGAGGCATTATCTACAGACCTTCTTATAGATGTCACTCCACCAACGACCGAAGAAACCAGGATGGTCATCAGACAAATCAAGAGCGGGAAAACAGGAGAACCTGACAATCAACCAGATACAGAAGCGGCTGCAAACATGCTGCACGTTCTATTCAGGAAGATTTGCGAGAAAGAACAGGTGCTGTTGGACTGGAAAGAAGGACATCTCATCAAGATACTAAAGAAAGGAGATTTGAACAAATGTGAGAACTATAGAGGCATAACACTGCTGTCAGTACCAGGAAACGTTCTCAACAGAGTGTTGCTGAACCAGATGACAGACTTAGTAGACGCTCAACTTCAAGATCAGTAGGCTGGATTCCGTAAGGATCGGTCGTGCACAGACCAAATCACGACACTAAGGATCATTGTTGAACAATCAGTTGAGTGGAACTCATCACTATACATCAACTTCACTGATATGCGAAAGCATTTGACAATGTGGAAACTTCTTTGACACTATGGAGTATCTAAGATGATCTTCAAGATCATCCGGAATTCATACGACGTGCTACACTGCAAAGTGGTTCGTGGAGGAGTGTTGACAGATGCATTCCATGTAAGGACCGGAGTCAGACAAGGCTGCCTATTCAACCATTTCCTCTATCTTCTGGTGGTCGACTGGATCATGAATACCTAGACACCTGAGGGAAAGAATAAAATACAATGGACATCTCGGAATCAATTAGAAGATTTGGACTTCGCAGATGATCTGGCCCTTCTATCACATACACACGAACAAATGCAAATGAAGACAACTGGAGTAGCAGCAGCATCTGCATCATTGGGTCTTAACATACACAAAAAAGAGCAAAATCCTCAAATACAACATGGAGAACACCAACCCAATCACACTTGATGGAGAAGCTGTAGATGTGGAATCTTTCACGTACCTGGGAAGCATCATCGATGCACAAAGGATCGGATGCAGACGTAAAGGCAAATATTGGCAATGAAAGTACCGCATTCCTACAGTTGAAAAAAAACATATGGAGCTCAAAACAATTGTCAACCAATATCAAAATCAGGATCTTTAATACGAGCGTCCAGACAATCCTGTTGTACGGGGCTGGAACTTGGAGAACCACTACAACCATCAATAAGAATGTACAAGTATTTATAAATAGTTGTCTACGTAAGATACTCAATATCCGCTGGCCGGACACCATTAGGAACAAGGTACTGTGGTAGAGAACAAACCAGCTTCCAGCTGAAATCAGGGAAAGACGTTGGAAGTGGATAGGACATATATTACGGAAACCATCAAACTGCATCACGAAGCATGCGCTAACTTTGAATCCTAAAGGGAAACGAAAAAGAGGAAGACCGAAGAACATACTGCGTCGGAAATTGGAAGCAGTAATGAAAAGGATTGCCCAGGACAGGGTTGGATGGAGAATGCTGGTGGGCAGCCTATGCTATTCCACAAGGAGTAACAGACGTAAGTAAATACTGTTGGCTGGAATAAAACTATCCACTAGAATATTAAGTAAGGTGGATAACGTTGTTTTGATTGGAGCTATGAGAGTAGAGTTTATTCTTTAGTAAATCCACCAATGCACTTGGTATCAAATCCTTAATAGAGATGAACCTGCCCTTTTAACTTTACTGTTAGACAAAACTGAATGGGATTTTATATTTTACATTCGTTGTATATAACTGGACAAGGATATAAGGCAAATAAAAAGGAACAAATTTTGGCTGGAAATGAAAAATTAGTATTTGGCTTAAAATGTTCCATTTTTACGAAAAGTTGCACAAAATTTGAAGTCGATTTCTTACCGGTTACTAAAGATCAGACTGGATCCAAACGAGATAATTATGCTTTCTAAAACGTAAAATCTTTAGTCTTTCCAGTATTATCAATCCAACTGATGTATGAACCTATCCAGTGATAAAGTTGTCAAATAGCCCAGTTTATTGAACTAAGATTAATTTGTATTGTCCAACCTCACTTATTTTACAAGTGAACACTTAACAGATCCTTCCAATCCATATTAGTTTATTTTATAATATATTTCTCAGTTATAGTGACCTGGAGAAGTAAAACTTGTCAAACTTCTGCGTACAAATAAAATGTATCGTTGAGCTTATCTAAAAGAATATTGTGTGGTTAAACGTTAAAAAATTGTTAAGAAAATAACTCGCAAGAATTACGATACTACATTAAACAAAGTCTAATTGCCAATGATAATCGATAATAATCTTGAAATATCGGAAATTAATTCAAGTTACCAATGTGAACTATTGCATGCCAACCCAGTGGTTAGAAGTTATGCTTTCCTGACTTTAGGTCCAATCCTTGGAGAGGTAATGAATGACACTACCTAACAGTTTTATATAAGCTTGAACAATTGTTCTACGCTTAGTGGTTTTCAGTGACTGTATAACCAAATTCATAAAAATTTTAAATTCAAATCATAATGACGAGCACCTTGATATGCCATTTCTTGATCTTATTTAGTTGTGATTTCCTCAGTGGTATGGAATAAATCCCTACCGTTTTTCCACTCTACGACAATTAACTGTTGAATGTCATAAGTTTTACAGTGGTCTTGAGCGCTGTTAAAGGTATGAGGGCGTTTATCACTTCCCGGTTGCCCTCACCGTGGAAAAGTTCTTCTGAAGGTACCTGGATTCCTTCTTCTTGTACTATATCCTTATAAGCAATCTTTCTTTTATATATTACCACCTCTGAATTAACTACTTTTATGAATCCGGTGTTCATCTTGCTGTGCTAATGCGGTATGGCAACTTGGACCGGTGCATATATGTGCCTGGTCCTACGTTGTAGCTGACTGATAAGTTCTACAGTATATGCTTAAATCGAATAATATCTCGAAAAGTATCACAAAAGGTACTATAGTTTACAGACATGATCGAGTTGATAAAATAAGGGACGTAACATGTAGAATGAATATAAATACAAATTATTCAAAATGTGTTTCATAAATTGCTTCGATAAAAAGTTGACCACGGAGATTTCAATAACGCCAAACAGTAGTTGGTAGCAAGTGTTTTCTTAGCAGGAGTACTGGGATGTTATGCTGAATTACTAAGACGGTGGTAAAAGGTCGTTACAGGTATCTTAAAGTAGAGAAAATAAAGAAAACTGAAAACACTAGAAAACTACTGTGATAGGTCTACTGTCACATATATGCTTTATCACTTTGTGAGGTTATTGAAGACAATTTATTTAAACCAATCAACTACTGAATAGGAAAAATGAATGCAACATCGAGAGCAAAAATAGCGTAAAGTTAAAAATATAAACGCAAAAGGATTTTCAGTAAGCATACTAAGTTATGAAAGTATTCAAAAATTAAATGTCCATGTTATTTTACTATGAATACGGTATATGTACAAAGGTAGTGCCCGGAGGGTTAGTCATTAATGCAGCGTAGAAACGAGAGCATTGTTTATGTTCCACTAACAGATATGGCAAAATATACCGGGGTCAGGAAAGTTAAGTCATATAAATGGCAGATTTAAAGTGTGGGTTCACTTTGTGACCTTGAAACACTCATCTCTCATATTCGTTATCATAACGCATTTACTAGTGATTAGCTTCAATATGTAATTTCTGAGCCTCTAATGTGAAGGCGTGACTGATGGAGTTTCGGCTGCATCGAGTGTGAGGAAAGTAACAACTGATATTAAAACAAGATAGTGTGTAATATCGCAGACTGGTCGGAGCTAAACATGTGCACCATTGGGTTAGTGGTTTAGAGGTTAGGTATTCGTGCGGGAGAGCGAAGATCCTGAATTTAGTACCAGGTGGCAAGGTCTTGGATACAACTGATCAAGAGTCCTGTACTAGGACGAAGCAACTGTCCAGTGCTACCAAGTTTCCAATGGTTACCCAAGTTAGATGGATCCGTGATCTCAAAAGAATTCAAGTTTTCACAACCGAAAAGTTGGTTACGAGAAATTTTAGAAATTGTGTCATCCAGGATAGTCTACTTGTTTTAAGCGAGTACGTTTATGGATATTTTTGTCAACTGTATGGAATTTTATAGTTGAATGAACTTTCCCGACGATTTGGGACTGCTTTTTATCGGTGATTTTGTTAATAACAAACCGTAGAGACTACCTAATGACTCAGTGTAAGAGTTCTACAAGATCGGCTCATTTCTATTAATGTAGTGATTTTGAATGTAAAATAAGTATTTGTCTTCAACTTGGTATATAGAATATACGGAATTATAATGGTCATCAATGTACATAAAACCATACTTCTAATCTTTTTGTTAGGTCCCGATAAACATAATGAATGGTAATTTTGGGAGCACTTTATGGACCAATACTAAACGGATATTTTTATCGTCTAATTGTTAAGTAAATAAACTATTCATATTCATATTGCAGAGGCTAAGACTAGTGTTCTGGACTTAACTGGCTGAGCTAGGCGGAAAGCAGGACCAATCAGGGCTCTAGGCTGCTCGCACATGTTTTACGCGTCCTTGGTTCGATCGATAATTCGCCGATTCTGATTGGCGGCTTTGGGCTATAACACTTTCCATGTAAACACAATCCCAATGATATGCTTAATAAACATCCCTTGGTCATAAAAATTATATTCCATTTGACTACTATGTTAAAATCAGTGAATTCGAAAAATCTACGTATATTTTACTTCACATATATGTAGAAATCATGTTTTCGGTTTAAAAAAACAGACTGAAAGTTTCCTTTCAATGAACAAACATCCACTGAAAATTTAATATCAATCATATTTGGAAAATTTAAGAAATAAAGCATAAATAGTCTAAAACATGAAGAACGCTGAGCACATACAAGTTAAAGAAGGTCAACAAACGAATGAATAAATAAGTATGCATCATTTATGAATATAACAGAGCACCATTTGTTAGTGTAATACACAAGGACAAATGGTTTTGTTCCTTGTTTAAGAAGAAACAAACTGACATAAAAAAGCATGCAAGGTAAAAAACGTAAGCAATAATACTAACAAGACAATACAATAACAACTTTAATAGGAATAAAATAATATAAGAATAGTATATTACTGACTGCACTGTGAATTAGTTTTTCTGCTTCTTCTTCAGTCACTGAGATTTATGTGTAATATGTAATAGGAAAGACAATGACAAAGAGATTCATGTCTTCTCACGATTATTAAAGACAGTACAAGTTTCTTCTTACGTAAGATACAACAGTAATGAATAGGATGAATTAAAGTAATGTGGTATAAGACAAGGAGGAAAGAATAAATGAAATACATACATACACAAATAAAACATGATTACAAACAACTACATAATTATTTGGATAGACAGGTAGATATACGTCTTGGGAAGCGTCTTAAAAACACTTAACGCTTAGCAAAAGTAAATAGGTATTCCGTACAGAGAGACAAAGAGTACGAAAGAGAACATTAGAATCATCAAGTCAAATTGCAACAACACAACATATATATACACTAAATAGGATAAGAGTATAAAAAGTGCAGAGTGAAATAACTAATTTTTCAATACTAATTGCTAATAAGCAATGAAAATGAAAAATATAATGGGGGTGCCACGAAAATTATGCAATAATGTATGTTAGTAGTAGTAGAGACAAACTAATGATTTCCACTTAAATTCTATACAAATACAGAATACATATGATTAAAGAAAATTATTAATATTACAAAAATCAAAATACATAAACATACTGTACGTATAACAGATAAATTACACTTAGCCATTCGAAATGGTAAAAAATTACGATGGCGAAATAATGATGTAATTAAAATGCCGATGAAAATACCAATGAACAAATCTTTATCACTCCATAAATTAATAGGTCTATAATCATTATTTTTATTTTGATAAATGTCATGATTATTATTATTTGGTTCCATTCGCTTCATGATATTTTTAATATTTTTATATTCATCTAATATAATTTCATCGATATTCCATGTTGTCATTTGTTTAGTACTATCACAATATCCTGGACCAAGAAGAACACCAGCTGGTATACCACGACTGAGAAGAGAGAAGAAAGAGAATAGTAATCATTCAAATCGTTCCTAATTATCATAAACAATCAAATTAATATTATTATTACTCACGATGTTATAATCTTATATTTAAACAGAAAAGGTTCTCAGTTTGAATTTTATTTTTATTACATGATGTCATACATTTAACAATTATTGTATTTCGAGTTAAATAATAACCAACTATAATTGTTGCAATTGTTTATTACAGCCTATTTGAAATATGTAACAGTTCCGCTTATATATATATATATATATATATAGGGTAACATGTAATCTGGACGGTGTTCCAATTAAAATACCAACTATTCTACGCTTCATTAGCAATTATATAGTAATTCTGATGGAATAGTAAATTTTAAAATCAAAAAGCGGTAACTAAGGTTGATGATTACAGATCCATAGGCGAGTTATATAATAAAGACAGTACCTGTTTGTAAAAAATTATAGAGGGAGATTGATTTATTCTGTGTAGACAGTGGCGTAAAAAACATATTTTTACACACTGAACGTTTGCGTAAAATAGGTGCCCCGAGGGTGGGGGGTTTTCCTATCCCTCTCGAAATGCTGTCACATGACCACGTGTACATAGCCACTGCCTGGGTAGTTCTAATCTCTGCCTTCTCGTGGTGGGAGTGTTGTTTACGAAGTTAAAAGAACGAAAAGCTAATATCCGGCGCAGTGAGGCCATAATTTATGAACGGCTTTTGAGCGAAGCTGAAGTGACCTTGAGGGTGTCCACCTAGTAACAAGGACCAAATGAGGGTTATGAAACATTGTGGGGGATTAGAATTATGATTTCCAGTTGATGGTTAAGGTTAGGAATTAGATTTAGGGTTTTCATCACGAACTGAAATCAGCTATAATGCCAAGTGGATAAGTGAATTTCGCGCAAAAATCCGAGACCTGTTATCTTATACCTGATTGGTTCGTCCATAAATTATAAAGGAGATGTAAAACCTTGATTCCAAACCAATGGTGCATATGGCCTCCACTATCCTGTAGGAACAAATGGTATATGAACTAATTGTTGGTCACTGGCTACCATGGGACTGCATCTGTAGATCAGGCCTTCAGGTCAAAGGCTCGGGGTGTGGCAACCCAAGAAAACCACCTGCTTCGATTTGGGCACCTGGGCAGTAACACAGGCCTCACACAAATCAATGATAGCTACTACTGGCCTCATTATTATTGTGTGGCGCGTATGTATGCAAAATAGTTAAACGGAAATAGAATTTGATGAAGACAATCTTGACAGGAAAATGTGATTATATTTACTTTTAAATTATAGGCATCTGATTATTAATATTTCCGAATCACTAGTTAAATATACAGTTAGACTAACCAATTTCGTTAACCTGTGGTCGATTTTTTCTTTAGTTCATTCACACAATTTATTGGTATTAATGTGACAGTCGAATGTACTTGCTGGATGAATTGTTTACAAACCAGTCAAAATAGTAATTACGGCATCTTATATTCGGGAAGCATATATTTAATATGTCTGTTTAATCACTTGGTTAAGCATTATTTTATAAGATTTAATCATACATAAAAAGTAAATACAAATAACATGAAAATAATAATAAGCAGATTGAGAATTGTAAAATAAAATCCTACTTGATTAAACGACATCGTTGTTCTTCAATGCGCGGACCGGCAAATTCTAAGTCATTTATTTCTTTAGCACTCCAAAGACGTTCTGCAACAGCACTTGTAACCGGCCTGTCAAGAATAAATATTCAAAACTAGCAATTATCAAAGAATCTCAATAAATTTATCAGTATCTATTGTCCAAAATAATATCTTAATTATGCGCAAACTCAACGAAAAGCAGGAGGGTCATTTCTTTCTTTCTTTCCAAACAGTGTGGAACCAGTGGATTTTACGTTAATGGACGCTCCCGTTTTTAAAAATCTAAATTGTTTCTACATATTTGAAATATTTCTTGACAGACACATGTAATTTTGGCATGCTTATATATATATATATATATATATATATATATATATATATATCACATCAACAAGATGTTCCTGTCCTATCGAGAATTAATGATTCCCAACTATCCTCTCATATTATCATAATGCTTGTGTCGAACGTTCTCTTAAAGCAATTTATGAAACGTATATTTTCAAACAATTTGACCTAATCTATTTATTTTTTATATATAAAGGGAATATACCCTTTGAGACATAAAATTGAAAAAAAAATGGTTCAGCGAAGAGTATTATTTGCAGCTTTGAAAATGAATCCGCCGAAAAGAGAACTCTTCGCCTAACCAATTTTTATTTTTACTTTAGGCATAACAATGATTTCTGTATTAATCAGATAATGCCTTTAGATTGACATGCATTCTGTGGTAATTTAAGAATAAAATTTACTTATGACGTATTCATGCATGTATTTTGAAGGATAGACGTTTCGGAAAATAAAAAATATACACTACCATAGAATTGTTACGACGAGAAAATATATATGTGGTCATTCGTTAAGGATAGATTCGATAACAAACAGCTGGAATTATCGAACAACGGATAAGTAGAAAGCTACTTATTCAATAAGTAAATAATTCATTAAATTCTAGGAATTACTAGCAAAAAAAGAAAATGGAGGTAATGAGTACGTTATAGTTAATTAAACAAAGAAAAAAACTTTGAAAAAGTATTTCAATATGATTAACGTAATAAGTTTAGTTACCAAATTTTTGTTAGAACTGTATCATCCGATTGGTATTCACTCCACATGCAAGCTTCACCACCTAGAATTTGCTGTTCAGTTTCCAGTGGAGCATCTTTACGAAAAAATACAACCGCCACAACAACAACAAAAATGTAAGTGGATATTCGATATTAATAATAATGATAATAGCAGCAAATCATTCCTAATTCCTTTTACATGCAGTGATAAGCGAAACCAAAAAATAAAAACTTAACACCCTGTTAAATTACAACCAGTAACCTATGGGAATTATATTTTCAATGATGTTTTTCATGATCACTATAACTAAATTATTTCGACTCCATTGCTACTTATCTAATTAATGTCATTTCGTTGTCCTGATGTAGTATGATAGCATGAGTAAACACAAATCTCTACTGGGCTTTGTGTTAGCCATAACCGATTGATTCTAACTTCGCACTCGTGAGACTTACTAGGCAATAATTCCCTATTATTGAAAACTCCATGTCAACTGGTTATATATCATCGTTTAAGGTATGCATTAATTAGAAAATGATCGACTTACCGTTGGATGGATCGCACAGATAAAAATCTGTCCAACGCTTAATATCATTAAGTAAATCCAAATACCAACAACTTGAATAGATAATATTAAAACCTTTAGATAAATGAGATAATGGATGACTTTTCCAGACTTGAACAAACAGCGATTTTTTAAGCTGGGAAAAAATTCAGCGCACATAATAAAAAAAAATAATGAATACATAGGAATTCTGCAATAAAATGGGAAAAATATTTCAGTGACTCAAGGTTATGCTTTAAACGATGGTGAAATACCGAATACATAGAACTAGTTGAAACAGCTGTCTTATTGCATTTGTAAGTTATTTGCTGTCGTGAAGCATTGAATCGTTGTGTGAAGTATAGGAAATGGCTATCAGGGTGAACATAAAGGTGCTAATTCATGATGAAGCCGTATGCAAAATAATTACGATTATTTCATTACATAATCTCTGTCCACTTAAGTAGTCCCTATTGAAATATAAACAAACCACATGGGAGTGTAAGATGATAATCATAAGAAATTGTGTGGAAGTCATTGTTGAAGAGTTTATGAATATATATATAGGAATTAAAATTCAACTCCATTGCACAAGCCACTGATTATTTGGAAGCAGTAGCTAAGTAAATAACACGATGGCGTTTGGGGTGAACAGCACTGATTTCAAGTCTTCATCAGAGCATCAACACTGATGCAGTTATAACCTCAGCTGACGAGTCCCACATTGGACAATATAAGCATTCTGAATCCCACTGCGAGCAGTCATCAATCTCTTCTTAAAAAGTGGAATTTTGAAAGTAATTTATTGAATTACAAAGTACTTTTTCCTTACATCGGTTACATGTTCTACGACATCTTCCCACAGAATTAAATTTCGTTTCGACTGAGGATTCTTCTTGCCTATCTGGGTAACTAGATTTTGTACACTATAGAAAGACAAAAATTAAGGGAATTAAATACACAAACATAAAAATCCCGATTAAATTTATGTATTCTCACATGAAAAGCATCGATAAATTGGTGAATAAACAAATATTTATTGGTGAATGAAATAATATTTTACCAACAAAAATTAAATAAATAAGAGGTTTTATGATCAGTATAGCTCATGTTTAAATTTAAATTAACATGAAATGCACTAAATATGAATTAAATTCTTTCCGGAATATAGATAGATAACGACAACCAAATCTGTTAATTCCCCAATCCGTTCATAAGAAAATCAAACAAATTTAACAATGAAGATGGTTTTTAATAAATTCACCAAGTCATATTAAATTGATCTCTATTATCGTTGTCGAGATTAAACGTTGAATATTCTTGTTAGTTCCAGTACACCGAACGTAAGGTTGTAAGCTAAACAAATTATTATTGCATAAAACGGCAAATAGAGCTAAAAACTTTCTCCATTAGTTTCCATCATGGCAATACCTCATTCTTTAGAAAAATATTCAAACAATTTTCTTAGTTCTTTGACATTTATGATCCTATATATTTACAATATTCGTCTTTTAATTCTAACATAGTTACTAAAATATTGATTTTTTATCGAAATATTTTGCTAATGCTCTTTCTAAATATTATGTAACCTGGTAATCATAATTGAAGTCCTGTCATTTCCTACAATCAATTACTTTGGTTATTATGATCCATTTTCTTCCAATTACTCAATCATTTGATATTAATTTGAAATTACTGTGAAATCGGGTAACTATTATGTTACACTAGTGTTTGATTAGTATTATTTTATTGTTATATATGTATCGCTTTACCAAATGTCCAAGTGCAAATTGTCATTACAATTACTATTCACTGTAGAAATATACATATTCTGAAAAAAATAAAACTTTGATCGACCTCGGGTACTTTAATACGATAAATGTAGAAGAATATATACTGACCAATTTTGGGAAGAGTAACAACTCATTCAAGTCCACGAAACAAAAAATTATCATTTTAATAAAAATATATAAAATTATGCACACCAAATGAAGAGCACAATGCTACATCGGGAAGTAATCCCATAGATAAAAACCAAATAATCGAGATATTTCGAAATAGGATACACAAAAACTCAAGAGATTTCTCCAGTTTATTTTACGAAAACTAGAGAACACAAAGACAGATGGAAATCAAGGTAAATATCATCTAAAAACTGATAATCCGCCACCTTACTATGTTTTTAAATAACTTAAGAAAAAAGCGTTATCATTGGAAATAATGTCAGCAAATTACCATCTCCAAAAGTAGTTAATCCAAAATATTGAATTGGATTGATCATGATTTTCAACGCCCTGTAGAATTTCAGGATCACGCTCCCTTTTAAGAAAGATATAAATATGTATAGCAAAAAATCTATGAAATTGAGAAACCAAATTAATGTGATCTAAAACACTTATATATGAACGAAGAATATTCGTTTCAACGGATTCTCTTCAGATTCTAATGTTGTATATTCAAATCATTAGTCTAAAAAGTGACCAGGTTTAAGACAAATACATTGTTTAAAATTATAACATGTGGATTTAAGACTGTTTGTTGTAGAATAAAATAAAACTATTAATGTTGAAATGACTACCATGCAGCGTTAAAAAGTTAAGTGAGTTCGGTAGGAAATAATAGAGTAGAGTGAGGAGTAACCAAATTATTCATGTGTTCAGAAGATTAGTGGTGGTGTTGAAATAATAATAATAATAATACAGAGATGTGTGGATAAAAATACAAAGACAATAATATGTGAAAATTATATTTGAATCAATCTATAAGATCCACACACATATATAAATAGGAAAGCTAGTGATACATCACGAGACATTCAAGCAACTAACATTTAAGGTAGACTGAGGGATGTCCGCGTACGCTGTCACATGTGACCAAGCATAAATATTCATACAGACATGATAGTAATAATAATAAGACAAACGAATTGTTACCACTCAAATAACACTATCTGACAAATAAGATAATTGAAGGGCTTGACAAAAGCAACCGTAAACAAACTTAATTGTAGAAGAGGTGCTATATATATGATCTTTAAAAATCAAAATTCGCCGCAGAATCATTTAGTTGTAAAACTGGTTTTTGTTGTTGTGCAAAGTACTTGTTTTCTGCTGAGTTTTTGTATCATTTGTTCCTATGTAAGTTGCGAAAAAACCATGTTACTAGTAATTATATATTATACTTATATTGCTGAGTGGACACGTCCATTCTGTCAGGGTGTAAGTCAAATTACCTCAGTCGATCGCAAATGCCAATATTTCGATACTGATAAAATATTTCGCAAGATCTCCATGTCTCTATCTAGGAAGATTGAGTGCATAATAGAATCGTAGAATGAATAATGCTGAAGTAATAATTGGATACTAATTAGAAACTCTAACCAGTTGACGACGATATGAACTTTGCTGACCAAGTTAGTTCAGACATATGTGAAAAATACATAGCCATCACCTACACAAACTTTCCCTGAAAAAGCTTGGACCAGATTTCCAGGCGAAACGTTGGATTTACTCCAAATTCTTTCGCTGACATTTTACAAATACATTCTTCCTCTTTAAACTTCAGGCAGGTTGAAATAAACCTAGGAGTGACCAAGCCAAGACCTCAAATCAGTTCATGATATCACTAACTGTCAATATTGACGTATCAGGACGAAGACTGAAGAAATGGTAGCTACTACTAAGGAGGAAAAGTTATATTTGTAAGATCTCAGGCGACTGAACTCTGAAAAAGTCCAACGTTCTCTCGAAAATCTTGGCAAAGCCTTTTTAATGAACATAATCAAACATCTAAATTATCGAGCATAAATAAGTATATGGTTTTCCGGTTAACTGTATATCAAACAGGTCACCCAATGACGTTAACAAAAGTGAAAGTGACAATTCGCAGTAATGCATATGAGACATCTGGTGTGTAAAGAAAAGTTTGTTAAGATAATAGTTGTATGTATAAGTAAGTGGATCTGAGGTAAGAGAAGAAATTCCACTGATTATGTATCGCCTCTGACCGGTGATTTTTTTTCACGGGAACAGACAACTTTATAGATGATATGAGTCGAGTGACAGTATGTATTAAATGAATATAAATAAACAAAAAAATAGTATTTTTGTTATTGTGTTGAGCAAATTAATTGTTTATCATCTATTTAGGTAAACAAACTGATTAGGAAAGTTGAAAGTAATCGTTGTTGTTCAAATAACAAGTGCTAGATTATATGGAGTAAAATACAATATATTTCAACAGTGTTCGGATGATCAGATAACCCGTTTGGTATCATGTACTTATTTATATTCGATAATTTCGATGCTTGAAATAAACTATGCCATGATTTCCGAGAGAAACGTTAGACTTACTCAAAGTTCAATCACTGAGATTTTACAAATATAATTTTTCCTCTTCAATGAATTACATTAGTTTGGCTCCCAACTACTGTGAAACGATTTGTTTAAATTTAGATGACAGCTCTTATAAAGTGGATTACTATGTTCATGTATTCCATTTATCGTAAGCTTTCATTTAACCGATCGATTATTATTACGCAGTTTTTTATTTACAACTTATTCACAGTCAATTATTTACATCTTGTCTTTTTCACATCCATTTTTGGTTTGTTGATGTACAATAGTGACTTTTTCAGCTTATAATGAGATGTAGTCCAAGATATGTGTATACAATCCACTTGTGCATGAAATATAATATACAGTAGAAGATGGCTACTAACTTCTATTCGGACTCAAGGTAAGGAACAGAGAAAAGCTTGCTGATAGCGAACCAGTAGGAGCTTGGCTTGAGTCAGTTGAAGTTCCGATCAAGTCTAGGATACCAGACTTTAAAGGTAATAGTAGACGGGGGATAGAAAGAACTTTATTCAGAATCCTGATTGGTGACCTTAGTACGTGATATCGATTAGCGTATCAAGTCTTTAGATTGGGTTGTGTTGGCATATCCAGACTACTTAGTCAGAGCGCAGACGGTTATTACGAAGAATGATTGGATACGATAATTAACATGCCTCAGAATCGGTACAAATGCATTTACTCTTTGCCTTTCTATGAATCTTAGCTTTAAAATTATCCCATAACTTTCTAACCTACAAATTCCTTCTTCATCCTCATATCATATTGTCTACCGCTATGCTTCTCGACCACCACTGATGTAGCTACTACTCTGGGACTGGTCTAGATAATCTCGTCTTGCTGTGTTGATATGGTGTGGCAATTTGAACCGATCCACATATGTGACAGGTCCTACATTGCGTATCCCTAACTGACTGATTTCAGTGTTGAGTAACAAAAAAAGAAAACTTAAAAATGTATGTGTGAGAAATGAGAAAGGCAGAGGATTCTTAATATTTTTTGCTAAATACTTCAGTATATACTAACAACAGTAAAAAGTAAAAGACTAGTATTTAAATAACCAGCCATGTGAAGATATTAGAGTATTTATTTTTAAAAAACAACATAACATTGCCTAATACTTAATGAACGATTATTATAAACACCTTAGTCCTACAAAAGGCTAACCACAATTAGAAGAGTAAATTAGTAATATCTCTGATTGTGATCCCGATCCGTAATGTTTGCAGATAAACTTGACTATTTCGATATAACGATATCTCATCGATTGGATTTAACAATTTGTATGTGTACATGAGAATGATGGCAACTTAGCTAATCATCCAAATTAACTTTTGTTTCAAGGTTTTATCAATATAACAGCAAGTTCAATTGAATAAATACACATTGAAAGTAACCCATAGTGTGGAAAGTTAAACACGAAAATATAAAAATAGCAATCAGTACTTTTCTTCGAAGATTACAGTTACCCCATAAACTGCTCTGTTTCTTGATTTTCACAAACGCTCTGTCCTAGAAATAGTAATCTTGAGGAAATAGCTAGGACTTTGAAGCGGGTTTGAATCCTTATAGGGTTTATCAATTCCCTCAAGATTATAGGTACATCTTGTCAACGAGTACCAAGTAGCAAAAACATAGGGGTCCAGGGTTTCCTTTCGATTACCTCCAACTATCTAACAATTGATTACTTATGGATAAAAAGCTGTTCTATAGAAGGTATATGTTTTTCTGACAGAAACGTTGTTTTAGAAGAAAATAATCGAAAAAACTAAAGAGTATTTAACAACTAACCAACATATTGTTTCTACTTCATCACCGCCCAGATGAATATAATCATCTAAAAATAATTGAAAAACTTCGTTAAATAAATTTTCTAAAAGCTCGTATGTTTTATTTGAAGCTGGATTAAGTGGGCCGTAATATGCAAGATTTTTATAATCATATTGACATTGTGACATAATTTCTGGATGAGAAAGTGACAAACTTCGAGTATGACCTACGGGAGTTTACAGAAGCAAAACAAGAAAACAAAACTATTAACTAATAAATTCTGATGAGTGAAAAGTCATATAAATTAACTTCATTTATAACAAATAACATCTAATATGACATTCAAACAGTTGTACTGACCGAATTATGTACGTTATACTGAAAGAGATAGAAGTTAGTTGATTCACAAAAGTTTAACACATTAAGTTAATGATATTTTCAAAAACTATCGAATTAAATATATTTAATTTGAACACCAAATATTAGAACAAGTTGAGATAAAAACTGTTTTAGAGGATAAGTCAACTAACAGTTCACAAAAAAGAACAAGAGCTCTAATTATGGTAAGTTTTTAAATATTCATTGCAGTTATTTCTACAGATACATCTTGCAGACTATCAAATGAAAATAAGCTTTTCAAAAAAGAAAAGACTAAACTGATTGGAAACTTATTAAAATCTAGCTGGAGATATTCTCGTAAAGTGATGCGCCAATATCACAAATAAGGAAAGTCAGTCAGTCAGCTACAACGTAGGACCAGGCACATATGTGCATCGGTCCAGGTTGCCATACCTCATTAGCACAGCAAGATGAACACCGGATTCATAGGAGTGGTTAGGTCAAAGGTTGCAATAAGGATATAGTATAGGAAGAAAGAATTAGTTCGTCGACAGAAAGAATGAAGTGATTTTAGTCTCTTAGTTTAAGGGAAGACAAGGAGTGTATACACCGACGCCATTGTGATCGATTCTGAGCCATGTCACCAAGAGTCTCCAACCATTGGTTACGAAAGTCACGTGGACCCCAACCAAGTAGTCTGCATCTACCAACATGGCTCAGACTAGAAGTTAGTGACTTCAGGCACTGATGCCACGTTTTGGTTTGGCCGCCCCTAACTTTCTTCCAACCATCCCCTACCCCGGTTAGCATTGCACGTCGTGGTAATCGGTGTTCAGGCATACGTAATACGTGGCCCAACCATCTCAGTCGATGAAGATTCATAACCTCATCAACTGATTTACCATCATTCCCTAATACCCTGCGTCTAACCTCACTATTACTTACCCGGTGATCCCAGCAATATTTCTAAGGCATCTGTGGTCAAATACTAGTAACTTACGGGTGTCTTCTACTCTTAAGGGCCATGTTTCGCTGCCGTAAATTAAAACAGAACGAACTGCCGCGCAGTATACTCGTCCTTTTATTGATAGACGGATATCTCGCCTTCGCCAAAGGTGACGTAAGTTGGTAAAAGCCAAACGAGCTTTTCGAATCCGTGCTGAGATTTCGTCAGACACCAACCCATTAGGGCTGATCAGACTTCCAAGATAAGTGAAGTTGTCAACGCGTTCAACTACTTCACTCCCTATCCTTAGTTCAGGTGTTGACCCAGACCAGTCCTGAAGCAACAACTTGCATTTAGAGGGAGAGAAGCGCATCCCAAACATTCTGGCATTGTTGCTTAGTGCTACCAGAAGACTCTGCATTTTGTCAGCGTCTTCACCAAACAGGACTATGTCATCTGCGTATTCTAAGTCGATAAGTGGACCTCCTGGAAGGAGATCAATACACGAGAAATCAGTCGACGAGAGTGTTATTTCCATCAATAGGTCTATGATGAAGTTAAACAGAAATGGAGAAAGTGGACAGCCTTGACGGACACCACTTGAGGTTGCAAAAGTAGATGACAGTTCGCCATAAGCCCTGACTCGACTAGTAGTGTTCGAGTAAAGAGCCTTCACAAGGTTTATGTACTTCTGAGGTACGCCTTTCAATGACAGACACTGCCACAGAGTCTCGCGGTCTACCGAGTCAAATGCTGCTTTTAAGTCAAGAAAGACCACCATCGTCGGACGCCGATAGGTATGCCTGTGTTCTAGAACCTGACGAATGGTGAATATGTGGTCGATGCAGCCACGACCAGGTCTAAAGCCAGCTTGGTTCTCTCGAGTTTGTAGTTCACGAGTCTTAGTTAGGCGAAAACGAACACTCAAATTATAAATCCGAGGCTTTCAGTTTTCCCGCTGTTGATACTGTTATAGCTTAGTGAAGATTAAATTACGGGTAACTTCTAAGAATTATTAATGCACTAATATTATATATATATTCTTATTGTGCGTCACAAGACAAGCCCTCACATGGAATCCTGAAGGTCAAAGGAAAAGAGGAAGACCAAAGAACACATTACGCCAGGAAATGGAGATAGACATGAGAAAAATGAACAAGAATTGGATGGAACTAGAAAAGAAGGCCCAGGACAGAGTGGGTTGGAGAATGCTGGTCTGCGGCCTATGCTCCATTAGGAGTAACAGGCGTAAGTAAGAGGGTAAGTAAGTAAGTAAAATATTCTTATTGTATAACTATTCAGTAACTAGATTATGTATATCTATATTCCTCTTATTATAAGCTTTATTTTGATCTATTTTTGAACAATTTATTTTTAAATTATGTTCAGTTTATTGATTACAGTCTCCCACGTCCATAGCCACTACTTGGCTTGATCTTATATAAATGTTATTTCCTATTTTATGGTATGATGCGGTCTGTTTGGCTGGTATATAAACCAATCATGTTGAAATAAATTGTCCGCATAGTTGAGGCTGTTATTGGCGTTATGGACCCAACTGGACGGGCTAGGCGAACATAGAACCAATAAGGACACTAGGCTGCTCATACCGATAGAACGTCATTTATTTAGCACAGTACTAAGATTTTATGGGTCGCAATTCGATTAGCGAATAAAACACGTCATAACTAACCGGGCCTAAAGTCACAACAGATACAAAAAGCAGGAATTGATAAATTTTTTTTTGCATTTGTGCAGATCATGAGCAGATTGTCTGCATATGACCTAGATTGTTTGACGCAATGCATAAACTCGTAGCAATAATACAAATAATTTTTATCATGAGATGATACAAGATGTAGTGCGAAATTTTCAAGTCGACCTAATTTGCCATTAATACTCAATAATGAATAAACACAAGCCAAGTAATGATGAAAACTAAGATACTCGGACTACACATGGCGTCATAATTGCAAACTACCTGACAAATTTAAACTAATTACATTTGAAATTTTGATGAAGCGATGACATTGGGTTAACTTTAATCACTGATATTGGTGAATTAATACCTCGCATTCAACATCATACAATATAGTAGTCAGGACCTTTTACTGTAATACTGAAAAATTCATCTTAAAGCCCGTTACTAGCGGAAACACACTTATTACTTACCTATGTGATTTTGCAGAGAATTAATTGATTAGAATTGCAAACAAGGGAGGAGGTAATAAAGATTTATTCAAAAATCAATGATTTACTCATTTGATAATCAAACAACTCATTAAAAAACTAGAAAACGTAAATCGATTAACTCTGCATACACTGAATTAATCAAATTCTTTTATTAGTATATTCAAAGTGAAAATGTGTATTTGTTTGTCCATGTGATTAAAAAGTATTTAGGAAACCAGCGCTCTGCTTATCTACTTCAATTCTTAATGTTACCATGATCGCATAGTACAGAACAACAAACTTGACGCACTTTCTCATTGGAAATAACAGTTCCCTTGAGTGATTTCATCTTTTTTTCAAACAGAAGTGTCAGATTTAACTCCACCTGCACACTTCTACGGTTACGACCTGTCCAAACCCTTGACAGAGGAGAATGTTTGCGGATGAAGTTACCAGCTCCATCCCGTAGAAAATAATTCTAACTACCTAGACTCCATTTTGACACTTGAGAGGTTTTCATTTAGAATACATATGAGATCACATGATGAAAGCCAAGATTCTTTGGCAATCTCGATCCCGATGTCCGTTCTAACAATCACAGTACAAATTAAGACAAGCAGGTTGAATGTTTGCATAATGTAAGAGACCGACAGGACCAGGGAGATCTGGAAATAAGAAGATACAACCTGGCGATGCTCAGAATAATTGAAACACGTACGTAAGCTGGACAGAAAAGATTAACTAAGCGAGAGGCTCTATTCTAATCGGGTCATAAAGAAAATGCATCGCACAAACAAAGAGTTGCATTGATGATTTTCAAAAAAGCATAAAACCCACTTATGGGATAGGAATTTCATATATTCAACACCAACAAACCATCCTTCAAAACGAAGAACGCAGGGATTGAATGTCATATAACAGCTAAGGTGATGAAAATTAGTTTATGAGAAGCTTAAGTCGATCGTAAAAGGTAACCACGAAGCCACCTGACGATCGTCATAAGAGATATAAACGGGGATGTCAGTATGGATAGCGACGGGTATGAAGATGTCATAAAACGATATGGAATAGGAGAAAGCAACCAGAGTGGTGAGAGACTTGCAAATCCATGTACTTTCAACGACATGGTTATAGGTGGCACCAATTCCGCACAAACGCATACATAAAGCTTCCTTGCTTTCACTGTACCGCACAACAGAGGACCAGATCCATTACATCTCAATCAACAGCAAGATCATAAGGTCCATCAAACACATAAGAGTACAGAGGGGAGCTGATCTGAGGAGTTTCACATCCCAATCTGATAATCGTCCAGCTAGAACTGAGGTTGAAGCACCATTGGACAGTTGAACAAGTTGCATTCGAGATGCTAACAAACTCGTGAATCTCAGGATAGATCTCAGCGACAATTTCAGACCTTACAACATCTAATGGAAGAAAAGGAAAACAATATGGAGAACAACTAGAAACCGATTAAAGAAGCAATAAGTCCAGCATGTCAGGAGGTGCTGGGCCATAAAAGCACCAGAACAAGGAGTGGAGCTCAATAGACAGTTGGGCAGAGTTCAATTCGAAGAATTATATAACCAATATACAGGAATTAAAATTCAACTCCACTGCACAAGCTACTGGTTATTTGGACGCAGTAGTTAAGTGAATAACACGATGGCGTTTTGAGCAAACAGTACTGGTATTGATTTCGATTTTTCATAAGATCACCAACACTGCGACGCAGTTAAAACCCAAGATGGTGAGTCCGTTATATGAACAAATACATAAATTGGATTACATTGTTTGCCACTACCTGCCCATTTTATGTAAAATGTAAACATTAAGTTTTGGGGAGTATTTACAAATCTATTAAATCAAGCTAAATTATATTAAACTAGCTCTTTTATCCCACACACAGCAACAAATTCATGTGAAGATAGGCAGTGTAGCACTAACCTCTGCAGCACTAGGCTTCAACACACACATGGGTAAAGGCAAGATCCTGTAATGCAAAACAGAGAGCACCAGCACAAACACTTGATGGGACAGCTTTAGAAGAGATGTAAATTTCTACGTAGGTGGCTAGCAGAATTGATAAGTAAGGATCTGATGTAGATGTAAAGGCAAGGATTGACAAAGCAGTGGTAACATTCCTACAACTGAAGAGTATATGGAACTCTAAACAACTGTCAGCCAACACCAAAGCTAGAATCTTCAATACTAACATCAAGACAGTTCTATTGTATGAAGCTGAAACTTGGAGAACTACTACAACCATCATCAAAAAGTATAAGTAGTTATAAACAGCTGTAAATGCAAGAAACTCAATGTCCGTTGTCCGGATGCCATCAGGAACAACCTACAGTGACAGCGAATGTTTAGAAGTCTTTTTATCATGGAGAAAGGTAAAGTCCTGAAGGTCGTCTAAATACTGATTTACTAATCTATATTAAGAACTAAATATAAAAGAACCACAATTAAATGATGATAACAACAGCAGCGAATCGCTTGTAATTTTATAATACGAATATAAAGTGAATGTAATCAATCAAGGAATCTTTAACTCCATTACTTGATGAGTAGCAGGCTCTTTAAGGACAAGCAAAAGTTATTGCTACATTGTGTAAGGGTTACATTTGCTGACTGAATGTTGAAACCCCACATACAATTCATCAAAAACTTTGGATAGTGATGTAGAGAAATTAACCGACAGGTAATTGACCTTCACAATTTAACACACAAATCTGTACGCCATGGTTGAATTTAACAACCAATAAAATATTTATAAACTCGAACTTGACGGGAAAAGTAAAATGATGCTCGTTTTTGTTTTAAATGACGTTGCCTTCAAAGTAGGTGTCCATAGAGTTGATAAAATGCATCATAATACAAAAAAGGCTGAAAAATGAAAACCAGATACACTGAAAAATAATCAGCCGTGTTTCGAAAAACTCAAAATATTAAGGCTAGAAAATGAAGTTCCGTTGCTTGATATTGAAAATATGTGTACTTATCTATGTGTTTAAAATTGAAAAAGTGCGAACATTACTGTATAACAACATCTTAGAACACCAGAAGCTAAAATTTAAGGTAAGTAAAACAAGAACATGTAAATTTAGCGCATCTGGGTGGTGGTAACAATAAGGAAGTTTTGAAAACCATGTTATTTCAAGTAAGTGTATGGAGACTTAGTATATACGTTAATAATAAAATGCGTGGTATAACATATGTATCTAAAAAAATAACAATACCTGGTATATCGAATTCGGGAATAACACGAATGCCTCGAAATCGGGCAAACTCCACAATTTCTTTGATATCATTCGATGTATAAACTAAATCTTCTCGATAAGCACCCTGGAAATACCCAAAACAGATATACAAACACGTGTACATAGCAATAAATTATGAGGACAATAAAAAAGTTACATGAATAAGGAAAAAACTGAAGCTAAAGCGCAATTATTTAAAATTAACAAACGGTAAATATAAACTTCACTAACCGATTTTTTTAATTTAAAGATAATATTTTAGCCTAAAGAAATTACATGTATGCTGCTGTGAAAAAAGGAGCTACGGTGAATGACCAATGGACAACAGTCAAACAAATCATGAGATGTAATACTAATTAACGCTAACAGACACGTACTTTTTAACAATACCAAAAAAACGAGGATCCAAGCAATTGAAATTTTGAAAACTGGCCATGGTAAGACTGAGAAAACCAATGATTTGTGAGATGATAATACACGCAGCAGTTCATTCGACATAAGAACAGTAGGGTGAGGAGCAAACTTCGCCCACTAGGTTTAAAACCTTATCAGTGATATTTTAGAAATCAATTGTGGATAAATACTGATAGCCACATATTCTCCTCAAAAGCGAATCGTTGCTCAGTCACAAAACAAGATTAAAAGGGGAGAAGAATGATCGTAAGGAGAGACTGGAACGATGTTTTTCAAGAATAAAGTTATATACTATATAAGAATTGCGTTATATTACGAAATAATTGAAGTTGAAAATGTAGATGGTTGGATGTCGATTTCGTGGTCCAAGGTATTTCGCCCTCTGTGAGACACGAAGGTCCAGAATTTTTGTCCCGCATGAGACCGGTCAGTGAACATCACGAAGTAGTCTCGTAATAGATGAAACATCTATCTAGTTCTACCTAATTTTCAATGACACATTATCCGATAGTCTAACGAACGAAGACTTGTGCAAGGGTTAATCAATTATATTATACAAAATTACACACTGCATTTGTAAAATGAGTAAACAATACAATAAATACATTATTCGCATATCTTTGAGTTATCTCTTACAAACTCCATCGTTCTTCCATTTCTGTTGTCACATTGACTGCTCTGTTTTTCTTTTCTTTGCATTTTCCTTTTCTGCCGGTAAGAATTCTACTTAAAATTCCGGCTACTACTGTCCATATAAATGGCACACACCACAATTGCACCCAGTAATGAAAATTACCCAACAGTTATAAAAGACCCATTTTACCTATTTGATAATTAATTATATATATAAAAGCATATACATTTCTCTAGTTGCAAAAAACCTATCATTCACAAACAAAACATACTTTAGCCGAAAGTTCAGGATATACATCACTTTGATATGGAAATGACTGATCATCCACAATATGCCAATGTAAAACATTTAATTTATTATAACTCATAGCCTCCTAAAGAAGATAGAAAATATATCCACAATCAAAATATTAACGAAATGTATACAAAATATAAATATGTAATTGAATAAGTTATCAGGCTGGTATCTTAACACTGATTACAAACATAACACAATGAGAGAGAAAAATAGACTAAGTAGAAAGGGTTACTTTTACACCATGAATGTTGTTTTGGATTAATCATTTGATTAGACATATGGTCAATTTTTTAGAGTCACAAGCATCTTTTAGATAGATTTCGGTTAGGTTGATTCATGTGAACTCCTATGGTTTTTACTTCCTTTAGAAGGCGAAATATTGAAGCATAAATCAAACTAATTAGAATTCGATAAGTAGATTTAAAAAATATTTTCCCACCAATTTGGTATTCAGTATCGATTAGACGTAAAAAATGAAGTTTCTTAATGCAATTGTCTGTCATTTCTCTAAACATAAAACTATGATGTTTTAAGATGGAGGACATGTTATATTTTATTGGGATTACAAAAGGAATGGGATAAAATACATTAAAAACCGGTAAAAAAATACGTTAGTAAATATCAATTTACAATTATATTATGACACTTCATTAAAATTAAACCTACAGTTCAATTTTGGTCGCCACTGTTGACTAAATTCAAAACAGCTCAACCACGAGAGATGCAAAAAAATATTACTTACGCCTGTTACCCTTTGTGGAAGAGCACAGGTCGCCCACAGGCATTCTCCATCCAACTCTGTCCTTCGCTCTCCTTTCCAACCGTTTCCAATTCCTATTTATTCTCTTGATATTTGCCTCCGATTCCCGACGCAATGTGTTCTTTGATCTGTCCTTTTTCCTTTTGCCTTCAAGATTCCACACCTAAGGGCTTGCCTCGTGACACAGATTGATGATTTCCGTAATGTATATACTATCAACATCCAGTGTCTTTTCCAAAGTTCCTCTTCAGCTGAAAGTTGGTTTGTTCTCTCCCACAGTACGCTGTTGCTGATGGCATCCGGACAACGGACATTGAGTTTCTTGCATATACAGCTGTTTATAACTACTTATACTTTTTGATGATGGTTGTAGTAGTTCTCCAAGTTTCAGCTTCATACAATAGAACTGTCTTGATGTTAGTATTGAAGATTCTAGCTTTGGTGTTGGCTGACAGTTGTTTAGAGTTCCATATACTCTTTAGTTGTAGGAATGTTACCACTGCTTTGTCAATCCTTGCCTTTACATCTACATCAGATCCTTCTAATGCAGATGTAAATTTATACTTGAAGGTAAATGTTCTATAATACTATTGAAAAAAATACTTTTTGATCTTTGGGCAAAGTAACCGATGTCATATTTCTCGGTTATCAGTAATTCACAATATCATACCAGTAGAATGGTGCATCTTTCGCTTAACCAATATATTATTAACATATTGTACATTTGAAACGAACATATATTTATATTAAAAGATTAATACATATTATGGAGTAAATGGATAGTTGTAAAAAGTCAAAGTTAATAGTATATTAAACAAAAAGTGACTAGGGAAATACATAATTTATTTCAGTGTAACAAGTCAATCAAAAATAAGCAAACTTTACATGAACATTTTGAATAGATAAGATACTGTCAAGTTGTATTTTGTTTCAGTCAGAAGAAACAATAAATAAAAATACAGTTGATGTCAAGCATTTATTTCAGTGACATTATAACTAGAAATGTGAACATCTGAATCTTTCAGAAATCAATCGATTTAAGCAGACAATAAAATTTTCAACGTTTTGAAATGCAAAGTATAAACTCTTACTTACGTTCATTTAATCTTTGCAATCCCGCTCATTTAAAAATTTTCATGAACCTTAGTGAATAGAATACTTTTAATGTGAAGATTAGAGATATCGATACCGTATAAACTGAAGCGGTAATATCGGTTTTGAACACACGAACTAGTGATTGAGAATTAGACACATAAACTTCTAAAATACAGATCTAGTAAACTAACTCATTCGATTTGGAAGGCACGTAGCATTTGATAAATTGCAAAAAAATTCATTAAATTCTACAGTTGATGTCATTCTTTAACATTGGAGTTTGTGAAGATTATCAAATTCTATAATTAAACATCCAGTGAAAACCAATAAGCACTGTTTCATGCTATTGTGGAAACCCTCATCAGTGTGCACTCACGGCCTCCCGTACACCAATGTTCAGACCTTTAAACCTCCCGATGAGCGCTCGCTCAACCTTAACACCACTGTGGTAGCAAAAAATTTTGTACATGCCTCAATCAAATTAATTCCAAATATTGCACGAATATATTTGGTACACAATAAAATTCCTGTTTAAGAAAGAATTTTGTCTTTTTTCAATCCCTGATATATGACAGATTAAGTTACTGCTACACGGAATTTAGGTTCCCAATAGTTGTAATAGATATTATATTATTTAGTAAGCTACGTTTACAGCAGATGATGCTGAATAAAAGTATAAAAACAAGCTTACCAAGTTCAGTAAAATAACAGATTTGCTTATAAAATGCCTAGAAGTGTCAATCATTAATCCACGATGTTTGAAACGGGGGTAATCGACAATGTACGTTCGATTAACAAAAACCTGTAGGAAGGGAAATAGTAATGAAAGGAAATTAGAAAAAAATCTCACAACTTGAAGGTAAAAGCAGGATGACCGTAAATGAATACTGACTAAAGATCGAATGACACTGCAAACTAGAGACTGCAACGATTCAAATATTGACCGTTCGTCAGATTTCAGAACACATACGGCATCACAATTAAGATCTTCAGTTATCACAGTGAGCATGCTGCTTTCAAACAACTAAGTAGGAATCGAGCGGTAAACCTACCCACAATCAATAAAGTGATGTTTTGAGACTATTATTTAGTGTTATCGATAGTTTCTGTCTCACTCCCAATTTAGTTGAAACTAAATGTTCGATGTTTCACATCAGAAATTTTAGAAATGTGTTATTTATTCCTACTGTAATTTACCCCTGTTACCAGTGCAGAAACTAAGTATAAACAGTAATACACTTTTTCTCAATGGATTGCTTCATTTTACATCTAAAATTCACAGTGAGCAAAGCCTGAATCTAGGTTATGAAAATTTGATCGTTCAGTAGTTACTGTTGTTTAATTTCTTCATAGACATACTGACGGAAATAACATTCTCGTTAACTAAATTTTCAGGAATTGATCTTCCAGGAGGTCAACTAATCGACTTGGAATACGCAGATGACATAGTCATGTTTAGTGAAGACGCTGATAGAATGCAGTCATTAAGCAGCACTGAGCAACAATACCAGGATATTTGGAATGCGTTTCTCCTCCTCTAAATTCAAGTTGTTGCCTGTGTCAACACCTAAACTAAGGATAGGGAGTGAAGTAGTCGAACGCGTTGACAACTTCACTTATCTTGGAAGTCTGATCAGCCCTAATGGGTTAATGTCTGACAAAATCTCTACACGAATTCAAAAAGCTCGTTTGGCTTTTACCAACTTACGTCACCTATGGCGAAGGCGAGATATCCATCTTTCAATTAAAGGACCAGTGTATTGTGTAGTAATTCGTTCTATTCTACTTTACGGCTGCGAAACGTGATCATTAAGAGTAGAAGATACTCGTAAGCTACTAGTATTTGATCACAGATGCCTTAGAAATATTTCTGGCGTCTGCTGAGATCACCGGGTAAGTAATAGCAAGGTTAGACCCAGGGTATAAGGGAATAATGGTAAATCAGTTGGTGAGGTTGTGCATTTTCATCGACTGAGATGGTTGGACCACGTGCTACGTATGCCTGAACACCGATTACCACGACGCGCAATGTTGACTAGTGTATGGGATGGTTGGAAGAAAGTTAGTGGCGGTCGAATCAAAACGTGGCATCAGTGCTTGAAGTCACTAACTTCTAGTCTGAGCCATGTTGGTAGATGCAGACTACTTGGTTGGGGTCCGCGTAACTATCGTAACTAATGGTTGGAGACTCTGGGTGACATGATCCAGAATCGATCACAATGGCGTAGTTGTATACACTCTCTGTCTTCCCCTAAACTAAGAGATTAAAATCACTTCATTCTTTCTGTCTACGAACTAATTCTCTCTTCCTGTACTATGTCCTTATATGCAATCTTACTTTTATATATTACCACCATTGAATTAACTACTTCTATGTATTCGGTGTTCATCTTGTTGTGATAATGAGGTATGACAACTTGGACCGATGCATATATGTGCCTGGTCCTACGTTGTAGCTGATTGACTGATTGAACCCCAGCTCTAAATTATACAGATCTGAATAAACTACCTAAGAATTATAAACGTTTTAAAAATGTATAGAAAGGACTTTAAAATACATACCTATTCTTTAACTACTTGATAATTTAATCAATACACTTTTAAAAACAATTTTGGTCAAAATCCCCAGCCAATAATAATGCACAGAATAGATTTGTGTACACACACTCTATGTTTGTAAACGGTGAAACTATAGTCGCAACTATCGGCAGTAAACAAATAATAGAATTTCATTGAGGCCATGTATAACATTGTTAAATTAATCATTTAAGCTTACCCTTTTTTACTATCATTTCATAAGTCCATACTATTTACGTATAGCAGATTTCCAATTTGTTTAGACGAATCGAAACAATATAAACTCGTCATTTAAAAATTAGTAAATAATGAAAGCAAAATGAAGAATAAAATGAAGTGGATTCAACCACTATACTTACATGAGATTGATCTTTCGTAGTCCACATTAATTGACTAAGTGTTTCTAAACCTCTTAAAGCCCCCCATGTTTCATTAGAAATAATAAAAATGCCATTTTCTGTAACACCCAGGATATCTGAAATTATAAGAAAAGATAAGAGAATGATTCATAGATATTTAATAGAAACACCAGCTTCATCTTATATTTTTATTAATGAATGATAGCTTTGATGTTTGAAAATAACGGCGATAGCACTTTGCTAATTCATATCACCGAACTGACCTTAAATGTTACATAATTGCCTGTTTTCACAATTCATTTGTGAATATTTACACTAACTCCCGACGTCCATTATTCCTGCTATATATATATATATATATATATATATATATATATATATATATATATGTCAGTGTTGTATGTCGGTCACCCGATATATTGAGTTCTTATTAGATCCTGTTTGCATTAGACGGGATTTCAGCAGTTCGTAATTAGAAATTACCGTAAACCGATAGCAAAAGTGGACAGTTTTTGATGGCAGTAAAAGGTTACTGTCCTCACTCTATGAATTCCAGATGTTGATCACAATTGATTAGCTAGAGAGCATTATTGATCGACCTCACATACTTACGCCTGTTACTCCTAATGGAGCATAGGACGCCGACCAGCATTTTCCAACCCACTCTGTTCTGGGCCTTCTTTTCGAATTCCATCCAATTCTTGTTCATTTTTCTCATGTCTATCTCCATTTCCTGGCGTAATGTGTTCTTTGGTCTTCCTCTTTTCCTTTGACCTTCAGGATTCCATGTGAGGGCTTGTCTTGTGACACAGTTGGGTGCTTTCCTCTGCAGGGATCTGGTTTGTTCTCTCCCACAGTTGGTTGTTGCTAATAGTGTCCGGCCAACCGATCCGAAGGATTTTGCGTAGACAACTGTTAATAAACACCCGTATTTTCAGGATGACGGCGTTCGTAGTTCTCCAGGTTTCCGCCCCATACAGTAGAACTGTCTCGACATTTGTATTGAAAATCCTGACCTTGGTGTTGGTTGACAGTTGCTTTGAGTTCCAGATGTTCTTCAGTTATAAATATGCTGCTCTTGCTTTACCGATCCGCACTTTCACATCTGCATTAGACCCACCATTTTAATCAATGATGCTGCCCAAATATGTAAAGGTTTTTACATCTTCGAATCTTCTCCGTCAGTTGTGATTGGATTGGTGCATTCTGCGTTGTATCGGAGAATCTTGCTTTTCCCTTTGTGTATATTGAGACTTACTGCTGCTGAGGTTGCTGCTACACTGGTCGTTTTATCCTGCATTTGTTGTTGCGATTGCGATAGGAGGGCCAGATCATCTGCGAAGTCTAGACCGTCCAGCTGCATCCTAGATGTCCATTGTATCCCGTGCTTCTCTTCAGATGTTGACGTCTTCATGATCCAGTCGATCACCAGGAGAAAGAGAAAGGTTGAGAGTAAGCAACCTTGCCTGACACCGGTCTTCACCTCAAACGAGTCTGTCAATTGTCCTCCATGCACAATTTTGCAGCTTAATTCATCATAGGAATTCCGTATGATATTGACTATCTTCTGAGGCACGCCGTAGTATCGAAGAAGCTTCCATAGTGTTGTTCTGTCCACGCTATCAAATGCTTTTTCGTAGTCAATGAAGTTGATGTAGAGTGATGAATTCCATTCAATTGATTGTTCCACAATGATTCGTAGAGTTGCGATTTGGTATGTACACGACCGATCCTTACGGAATCCCGCCTGTTGGTCTCAAAGTTGGGCGTCTACGGAGTCCTTCATTCTGTTTAACAATACCCTGTTGAAGACTTTTCCCGGTATTGAGAGAAGAGTGATGCCCCTGTAGTTATCACAGTTGCTGAGATTGCTTTTCTTTGGTGTTTTGATCAGACGTCCTTCTTTCCAGTCTGTTGGTACTTGTTCCTCATAACAAATCTTGCTGAAGAGAATGTGGAGTATCCTTGCAGTTGCCGCTACGTCTGCTTTCAGTGCCTCTGCTGGAACGTTGTCTTGTCCTGCTGCTTTGCCACTCTTGATTTGTCTGGTGGCCATGCTGATTCCTTCAATTGTTGGTGGGCCAACATTGATTGGGAGGTCCGTGTGTGTTGCTTTAATGTTTGTTGGGTTCAGTGGGGCTAGTCGATTCAAGAGTTCTTCGAAGTGTTCTACACATCTGTTTCGTTGTTCTTCAATGTTGGTGATTACCTTGCCCTCCTTGCTTTTCACTGGTTGTTCTGGTTTGCGGCGATTTCCAGAGAGTTTCTTTGTCGTGTCATACAGTTGTCTCATGTTTCCTTCTCTTGCAGCCTTTTCCGTCGTCGTTGCTAAATCTTCCACATATTTACGTTTGTCTGTTCTGATGCTCCTCTTCACTTGCTTTTTTACTTCTGTGTATTCAGCTTGTGCCTTGGCTTTTTCTGCTCTCGTTCGGCTGGTATTGATTGCTGCCTTCTTGTTCCTCCTTTCTTGAATCTTATCCAGTGTATCAACAGTGATCCACTCCTTGTGATGGTGCTTCTTGTGGCCCAGAACCTCATGACATGTTGAAGTGATTGCTTCTTTGATTCCCTTCCAGTTGCTCTCCATAGTAGTTCGTTCTCCATTGAGTAGATCATGAAAGGCCTGGAACTTGTTGCTGAGGACTATCTTGAATTTGTTGAGTTTGTTAGTATCCTGAAGAAAAGCTGTATTGAACGTTTGTAATATTGTCCGCCCCATTGTCCAGTGCTTCTTGAGTTTCAATTTCATCTTGGCGACCAGCAAGTGATGGTCTGATGTTATATCAGCTCCTCTCTTGGTTCTCACGTCTTCCATCGTCCTCCTGAATTTTTTGTTGATGCAGATATGGTCGATTTGGTTTTGCGTAGTGTGATCCGGTGAAGTCCATGTGATTTTGTGTATGCGTTTATGTGGGAATATAGTTCCGCCTGTGACCAGTTTATTGAAGGCACATGGGTTTGCAAATCTCTCATCATTTTCGTTCCTTTCTCCCAGTCCGTGTCGTCTCATGATGTTTTCATATCCGGTGTTGTCCATTCCAACCTTGGCATTTAAATCTCCCATCAGAATGGTCAGGTCTTTTGTTGGGCACTTCTCGATGATTGACTGCAGCCTATTGTAGAATTGATCTTTAACGTCTTCATTGTGGTCGTTGGTAGGCGCATAGCATTGGATGACGTCTACTGAAATGCCCTCTTTCTTTGTTTTGAAGGAGGCTTTGATGATCCTTGGTCCATGAGATTCCCATCCTATAAGTGTATTTTGTGCTTGTTTGGACAGCATTAATGCAGCTCCTTGTGTATGTGGGGCATTTTCATCTTCATGGCCGGAATATAGCAGAAGCTCCCCTGAAGCTAGTCGTTGTTGTCCAACTTGCGTCCAATGTGTTTCACTGATCCCAAGCACCTTTAGATTGTAACTCCTCATTTCTGCAGCAATTTGGAAGACTCCCGGTCTCCCACATTGTACGAGCATTCCATGTACCTAAATAAATGGTTGCTCTGGTTGTTAGAAGGGACATCGGCCTCGTGACTTCCGAAGGCACTCGGCTTCCACTGTGAGGCGTCACAGTTCTTCTAAATGAAGACCTGACTCCCAGGGCAGAGTTTAAATGGTTTGAATAAATTTTACTGGTTAGCGTTATTTTAGCGAGTTAGTTTTCTACGGGATGAAGACGCTAACCCCATGCCCAACCCTCCTTCTTTATCCGGGCTTGGGACCGGCAGTAGCCCCCGGAGGGACTCCAGGCGGAAATTTTTAATTTTCGGTAGTTTTTTTATATGAGTGATTATAAAACATTAATGACAATACATTATGATCTATAGATATACAGATAACTCACAGGATTCATCCATATTAACATGTGGCAATTTCGAATCGGGATTTATCACATGCAACAAGGCAGAATTTTGAATTCCTCTACGCCGTATACTGTGTTCAGATAATTTGTACTTGCGAATTAAATGAGACATTTGTTCAGATATAAAATTATGAGATATATCATTTGAAGTTTTTAAATTAGTATCATGGGAGTTATTATTAGTACTACTTGAATAATGATGATTTGCTCGGAATGATGATGAACTTTTTTTCCAACTACTGTCGCGAAAATCCTGATTTCGCTTTACAGGAGAATTTTCACAAGTCGACTGATAATTATCAGAGAAATGACTGAATAAGCTCTTTTCATTATGTTGCCAAACTTTTGGGTACACAGAAAAACCAAGCTTATTTCGTATCATAAACGTATATCGATTTACAGCTGACTAGAAAGAGAAAAGAGATTGATGTACTGATGTGCATTCATCATTCAACAGTAACAAAACCTGTAGGCAATATAAAATGATAATTATTAGATAATGGGTTCATGGTACATGTCATACATGGTCATAATTTGACGTTTATATCAGTTAAAAAGGTTAATACAGTATTAAACAAATTAATTCATCCTATTTTCATTGAAATCAGACTTTATTATCTAGAGCTTACAACAAATTCACTGCAAACTCAACAATGTTTAGAGTTAAATCAATAGTAAACAACTTGTCAGTGCATGCAATGTAAAGGAGTTTCTAAATACTTAAATAACAGTTGCTCGGTTTTCTACGCGGCTTCCAACACTTGTTATGCTGACTTGAGATTATTATAAAAAGTTTAGAACTATTTGATTTCATGTTTCTTACTAATATACATTAGAGAGCGAAGATAAACAGATACCTAGAAGAATCCGAAACCAATAAATAATGGTTTATTTTTATTTTTTAAAGAATTTCTCAGCAATATACATCCACAATAGGATATGAGATCGAATTGGGGACCTTTGGGCCTTGTAAGAAGCATGTCATCATTGGGCAATTGAGTTAGAACCCATTGGTTCATTTTTCAAAAATTCTATCAACTTTTTTTGTCGATTAATTTTGAAACTCTGTGTTGTTAAAAAACCAAATCACGTTAAACGCTTATACGGTGTTCGTAATATATTTGTTTACTTTTTTAATTATATGTATCATATTTCCCTAGTTATAATAGTTTTCATTGCATTTTCTTATTTGATACTTCACCACTGTTGACAAAAATCATTTCAAGCTTTCGGGGTTTCCACTGGTTGGTTTTATTTGTTTGGCTGAGGAAAGGTACAATCTCTTGGACTAATGTCGAACCGTATCAAACCTTACGTATATCTGTCAGTTCATTCTGATTCGCCACCAAAGGTCAAACAAAATAGAAGCCGGTTGCAATCACACGGTAGCTTTCTTTTGCACTCCTCATAAAGTAAGATGATCATCCCTTAAATGAAAGTCTTTCAGCTATATTTTAAACCAAAATGTATCTCTTATTGGATACCGCTCTCATTCATTTATCTAAAAATGGCACCAAACCAAGTTCAGCTGTAATCATAGACAATGAAATCAAACAACATTTATGGAGCCAAAGTCTTTCACTGAATCATTATTTTTATTAATTCAAATTTTCGTAAACGTTTTGGGTGAAAAAGAAGACGGAAAATTCAGATAAACCGTTAATATTACAACCTGGTACCTACGATTACCATTCTTCAAACACTGAGGCCCTAAAATGATTTATGACATTAACTCTCATATCTATCAAATAAACAAACAGTACAAACAAACGATGAAGAGAATAAGATAAAAATGTTTAACATATTAGAATGAAACACCCTACTTGTAGAATCTCATTTGAAATTGTATGGAATTCAAAGTGAAACTGTTGCATATCCACATTATAATAACATGAAGATGATGACCAACTCCATGGTAATGGCCATGGTGATCCAAAGGTTGGATGAGGGGAACGAACAACCGGTATTTTTATACCTGGAAATGACCTATATCTCCATGTATTTTCAAGGATAATATCATTTGGTGATGATAACTGAAATTTCAACAAAAAATGCCTATTTACAAAACGAATGAAACTGAATGACGAAGTTTTCTTTGATAAAACTTATTTGTTAGACATCAACTTAAGTTTCACATTTCTAAAATCATATTATTCCAAACAAATTCGAAATCAGACTGCTCTTCTTGACATCTATTCAGTATTTATCAATATCAAAGACTTTCAATGCATGAAATATTTTGGAGCTGAACGAACGTTTCCAAATGTGGCCAACAAATTGATCGTCCCAAACAGATCGATATTAGCGAATTCGCAGCAGCTTGTGTTGTAACTAAATATCAAATCCAGCTATTAATCCACTGAAAGGTATAGATGAGCGATGGCTACAATTGCATGATCCCATGGAAATGGCGAGTGAAATCGTTTGCGGCTTCGCGAAACGTCCCGCTTATAAGCACTGGGTTTAGAGGCACGTCGGGTTACTCCGAGTAACCACGAGTTTGACGATAAACGTAGATTATTACGTAATGAAATTATGAAAAGTTTGAGTACGGACAGACAAGCCTGGTGGTCGTAGCGTGCTAGCGAGTTGAAGGAAGCAACTACATTTGGTAACTGCCGAAAGCTCTTTTAACTCATCCCAGCCATTGGCTGCAAGACGTCTGGTGTGAGTGAAACAATTTTTGAAACTGATGAGATGCCAACTAATAACATGTACCGACGTATTAAACGATGGAGAGAGTTCGTCCAGGAACAGTTCGCTGCCTCAGAGACATTAACCAGACTGTTCTATCCTCCCTGGCCAGTATCGATTGATCCACTTAACAGTGACTTCAGACATAATCAGACATGGCTCAGAATAAAAGGCAGTGGCGGTCTTACGGTAACTTTCTTTTACTTTTTCATAAGTGACAGGAACTTAGTTAACTAAAAGGGTCCTTTATAATTGCGTAATTTTGACTGGCCTGCTCCATTCATTATTACCATTTTTCACTCTCGAATAATTTCTATTCATTTTTGTTCTTTGTGGATTATACTTATATTCCTTTCCCTAACTCTTCATAATGTCACTTTTACTGTGTGAAGCATATATACTTCAGTGACTTTCTGTACGAATAGTCATGTTTAAATAAACAAATAAAATATAAAATGTAACACTTAGAAAAGAATATTAGTATCTAAGATATTACTAAAGTAAATAAAGGCACATTAATAGTAATCTTAATAACAATAGTCAAGATGACCTTATTCCTTATCAAATAAATATAATTAGAATGATAGGGAGATTTATGAAACTCGTAAAAAAATTGTGGATAGAATATGTTTACCATCAAGTAAGTTTTTCCAGAATTACTGGGACCTTCTTCATTTATTAAAATCACTGGATAGATGTGCAGTTAGTACGTTTCAAAAGATTTTCCATTCTGCAGTACTCAAAATACAACATATCAAATAATTTCTGATGCAAGAGTTAACGTGAGCAATAAGATGAACTAAAAACTATTGGTTTTGGTTAATAAAAGGTGAAATCAACTACACAAATATCTCAAAAACTATGTAATTATTATTTCTTTTAATAAAACAAATCATTAGAATTACCTCTAAATGTGTAGACGACTGTTGATCTGGAAGTGCTTTAGTGACATCTAAAGAGAAAATGATAAAGAAATAAAGCAATAAAGATATACTATATTCAATGAAGTATTTATTCACATACTTAAGAACTCAATTATTTATTCTGGGTAATTTACTGCTGATATGTTAGTTACTTGACCAGAATAAAGTGAAGCATTATTTTAACATGAAATTCACGGATCAAGTTAATTCCTTGATTCACTAAACCACCATACCATGTTTACCATTACTCCGAAACTGCAAAATAAATGTCTTTTATTACATTAAATTTTTTTTTAATAAGTTCGACGTGAAAATATATGAATTTTTATAACTAAAATACGCACAGACCAATACAAAAATATCAAAAACAATTGAAATCTAACTGATATCAATCATTCAAAATTCATAACAGTACAATAAATAATTTGCGAGACCTTAAGAAAATGCTCTCCATAGCAGTGCTACATGTATGCATTAAACAGTCACTAAATCTCTCACACATCACTCTTAAAATTCCCCCTCCCCCAGCGTAGAGTACCTCCTTTAGGTTTCATATAAACCAAATCAAAAGCTGAATGTTACAAATATTTCCGCAGGCCTTTAACTTATTCTTGTCCCATTTTTAAGAAAATGCAATCCCAAATCGAACAACATTGGGGATATAGTACTATTATTACTTCGACTACTACTGTGGTAAATGATACCTGTGTCTGTCGACATAAGTAGTATGTAACACCGATAAGAAGTTGAATACCTGTCAAAAAAGGTTGGGGATATTGCGCTGAAAAAAAACAAAAAGAAAAACATAAAGGAATTGAGGAATGGAAGAATCATGAAGGATGTAAAGGGCAAATGGTAGAAGATTTGCCAAAGTATTTAATGCATGGTTTTCACATTTTATGAAAGAACTGTAATTTTGCATCAAACAATAAACTGGTTGTCCCCAACCCAGTTCGCGTTTACTATACTAATACTACTACTAGTAATAATAATAATAATAATAATAATAATAGTAATAATAATAACAATAATAATAGTAATAACAATAATACTGTGTTAACCTGTCTGACTTTACAAAATCAGAAGCTTCCTACTAGAATAGTGAAAAGCTCATCTAGAATCTAGGTACTAGTGAGCTAACAGATGAAATACATGTTCTCGATACTTTTTTTTCTCGTTCACGATGAAATCTGTTCACAAACAACATAAAAACTTCAAGCCACACCTAAGTAAAAAGTTGATTTGATTTAGCCTTATAACAAAAGGAAAACAGAGAAAACTACAATAATATACACTCTAACGTACAAATTTAATTTCTTTTCTCTAAAAAGAAGATTGATTAGTTCAATAGTCAGATTAATAGGTAATCCGCTTGTTTCAAAATATATATGAATTTTAAATTACCAAACATTAGTGGCTATACATGAAGATAGAATAAAGCTTGATAAACAATACAATGAATATCAAAGAGAGAAGTGGAAACCATAACTAAGTGTAAAATCTGTTATTTGAAGTAATTTACTAGAAAAAATTAAATTTTCGAAAGATCTGAATAAAGTAGGTCAAGTATTTCTTCATAGGAGAAATTATAGTTAGATTTATTAACCTCTTTATATATACATTTCTTTCTGAACTGTCAGTCCAACCACTTACTGACCAGTGATATATACATATATTTCAAAAAAGTTTATAAAATACATGAAGCATGGTGAATAAAAGTTTATAGATGAAATAAAATATACCTATCTTGATGATAATTCAAGATGATTATGATAAACTCTCAACTCTGATCTAGTGGACTAAGTGACATGCTAGGTGCTTATTTTAATGATCGTAAGATCAATTTTAAAATGTCCTGTACACATAACAGCTGAGTTTAAACCTGGATACATGATAAATCATTAGTGCATCCATCAATGTAAAACATATCGGACTTCGAAGCCATACAAATGGAACGATAGCTTTATGTCTAAGTTAACGATACTGACTAAAGTCTATCAATCACAATATAATTTTCCCCATTAATCTGTGTGACATAGGATTAAAAGTAGGTTGTACTTAACAAAATAAGACATTAAGGTTGGATTTAACGCTTGCTAGCACTTTACAGCAAGAAACGACTACCACTAGCAAAATTAAACAGCTCATGTCTAAGCACTTAGTCTGTAAAAAGAGATTAATGTCAATCAGTAGATGACGAAATAGAATTACGCTTCATTAACTAAGCTGAGACCAACAGCCAAATGAACCAAGTTGTAATCTGTCACTGCAATTCATGATTGCAAATATCTTCGGCTACGGAGTTCAACAATACTTGTTCGAATTTCAGTTAGACATATTTCCTTTACTGATTAATGTTAACAAGTACGAAGTACAACTATCTAATAAATAATCCAAAGTTTTTGTTTATTTCTGAGATAAAACGCAAAATCTCATATAACTCACAAATCATTCAAATACAGAAAATAATTCATTTAATAATCTCATATTTCCCGATTACAGTTTTAATGACCAGACAATGGAAGCGACTCAAAAAGTAAACAAACTAAATTATCTTAATTCGAAATAAAAAATTAGGAAAAAGAACAAATTATGCTAAGAAAGCAAAACACAAATTTGACACTACCTTAGATTACTTAATTCCACTGATTGTTGTATTATAGGATAGTCTACGGGAGAAAATACGGTCATTTTGTGTAACGTGAATAAAACGAGGGATTAAACACATATATAGACTAGATGGATAGTGGCTAGCAGTGGAATCCAAGACGTGCGTTTCGTCCTGTTTGGGACTCGTCAGCTGGACGTACCTGCATCTCAGAGTTGATGTTCACTCCGGGACTCGAACTCAGTACCGTTCGCTTCAAACGCCATCGCGTTATCCACTAAGCTACTGAGTCCTGATAGCCATTTGCTTGTGTAATGGGTTGAAGTTTAATTCACTTGATATTGTTTTACTTGAATCTTCCCATTGATGTTTTAGGACTGAAATTGATCAGCCTCTTAAAACATCAATGGGAAGATTCAAGTAAAACAATATCAAGTGAACATATATAGACTGTTTATTAAAAAAAAATATTTCGGATCAACATTCTACTGAACGGTGTAGCAGATTATAAACTCAGGTATAGAATAATAAATCATAACACGTAATTTAGACATACTTAGTAGTATTTATAACATATTTAGAAAAAACACCTGTTTTAGCATTCATGCCAAATCATCCAAGTCATCTTGAAAACATGTCCCTAATTGTAACGCAAGGTGATGAAAATTGAAATATCTAAGAGAGTATAGTTACTGTTTCAATATCTGCATTTATGCATATCAAACACAAAACCCACATCCAAGTATGTATTTTGGTGGCCCGAGATCTGACTCCAGTTAGATCGCAAGTATGATTATTATCGAAATATACATCCTGGTTATCCTCGTATATAATGATCAACTGAATTCGCGTTAGTGAATAACGGATTTAAAATAAGTCAAATACGAGGACGGATTTTTGAATACATATATTTTTATACTCATTGATTTGAACAGACAATCAGAGGAATGAAGCGAAGAAAAGAGAGCGTGAAGTGAAATGACGTGTAGTGGAGATGGTGTGTGAACCAACTCCAATTAATCAAGCGTTAATCAATATTTATAGTTACACAAAAATAAACTATAGATATGCGATGAGTAGGATATGATGTACACATACATACGCTCATATGAAAATTTTGGGTTGATAAGTGAATGATTAACAAGGTCAAAATGTGACTCAAGAAGAATGGATGAATTGGCTTGTCAGAGCTAGAATAAGTCATATGGGCTTAACATAGTGACCGACACTACAATCTCTCTGATACCATCTAGCTTTACATTACTTTTAGACAAGTTGGATTCAAACAAATCATCATACAAACAAATGACCAAGCACAAACAATTTTTATGCAAAATTGTCAACTGATAGAATATATGCGCATTTTCAGACAACAGATGAGTACAATTGAGGCGTTTCGTTAAATACAGATTATGAAAAAGACCTGACATGAACAGCTACTTAGTGTTCCTCATAAAAAAATTTATTTTATTTACAGAGTTCCTATAAACGTTCATTTCAATTTAGTTTAAATGGTAAATTTCCTAAATTTAAAATTTTGTTTTAACATGACTTGTCATTTGGTGTTTGTTATAAACTACGAACGCCCAAATAAATTTTCACAAAGACAACAAACGAAACGTTATGAAAAAGAAAAATCAAAACTAATTAATAAGTTAAATGTTCAAACACTATTAGACAAATTAGGCACATTCTTAAATTAGACGCAAATGTTCTTGAATGAATGAATTCGGACTAGTATATTTAACGCAAACATAAACTAAATATATACCTAAATTATATTAGTATTATTGTCGAACACATAGTGGTAAGTTCCCTGATTATTAAATTGGTTTGTGTCATTCAAGTAGTAAGAATATATTCTGATGTTAAATCTTATTTGTGGTGTTCAATATATAAATTTAGTCTTTCTACGTTGAATATACCTGAAACAGTAATTATAGACTGAAGAACGTAGATTCTACAGATTAAGATAGTTCGATGTGTTACGATGAAAATAACTGTAGTAACCGAAATGAATGTATATTTTACCTTTCTTCAAGTTGTTAAGCTATAAAACCACCTAGTTTGTCTGTTGCAGGCATGCGGAAATAATATAGGCAGTGTTATACATAGAAAAATCAAACAAGGGGAATATTCTCCATAGATTTCATATAATTTGAATTAATTTATCCTTTCAGTAATGAGGCACGGGTTTGTTTACTAAGATTTGAAACACTTTCACTAACAAAGAGAATGAAAAACTACAGTTAAGTATCACAAATTTTGAACCTACATTTGGACAATCAAAAGGCAGGTGGATAAATCACTGAGTTATATCATTATGGTCTAACAAATATGCCCACCGACTACGTTGACTGAGATATCTTACAATACATTTTGTCATTGAAAGATAGACGTAAATCAACTTTCTGAAGGCTCTTTACTTAATTATCAATGGTCGAGTTAACGTTTATGGAAATTGTCAACGGAATTGACGAAATCAAGACTACCTACTTTCCTCCATTTTCCGTTACTTTTGTCGTAGACAGATTTATAGAGATGATACTTCACTAAACTATTTAGGGATGAATCTCCTACCATAAGATTTCCTACTTGATCTAGAGTGCGTAAATGACAGACATATCCAACGATGGGAACGAAAAAGTGCTCTCTTTTGGACACCCAAAGTATAATTGTAGGGATATTTGAAATGAGTTTTTGTTATTATTTCTCTTATTATGACTCAGCTACTCTTATTGCTTAGTAATCTTAGATACCGCTTCACTCAACAAGTCCCCAAATCAGAACATGATTAGACAGTAACGTAATTATATTCCAAATAAACAAGATTTAATGAAAGTAGGAATCACAATAAGAACGCTAGTATATTTATAACTTTTACACAGGAAGATTCTAGAGTCTTTACCAAGTATCCGCTAGCGCTGATCAGTTAAGAAAATAACCAATCAGTATGTTCTGATATAACTCTGCATGGAATATGCTTTCATTCACTCTATATCCCGCTAAGTTTCTTTCCCTATAGATGAAAATATTACTTCCGCACTGGTCTGTGTCAACAAATACTCTGGCCATAGGCAGAAAAGTAGTCGAAAACGTCGAGCACTTCACTTATTTTGGAAGTCTTGTCAAACCTTTTGAGCGGGTGTCTGACAAAAGCTCGGCACTTATTTGAAAAAGCTTGCCTATCTTTGTGCCACCTGTTGAGTGAGGGAGAAGCTGGTCTGTCAAATATAGTGAGCGCCAACACCATCTGTACAGCTCAGTTGCATTCAATTTCTCTTCCCTGAAATTTTGAGTTCAGTATCGTTCCTAACCTTTCATTCCTCAATCCTAAATTTTATCCTTTGGAATAGTATTTTTTATGTTTAGATTTTTATTGTTTTCAATACTTCTCATTCTATGCTTCACATCTCGTTGAATCTCTCAAAATTTGCTGATGTAATGTGCGACCTCATACCGATGCACATTCTAACCAGGTTCTATGATGATGATGATGATTAAATGACAGTATAGCGGTTATTGGAAGACTTTCTGTGAATCTACATATCGTATTGACGTATGCCATATGAAATTCTTTTTCAAACAACTGGTATGGTGTTATACTTAGAGAAGTTACCTCAGTCGTACGTTCGTACATCAGTTCGAGTTGCCATACCACATTAGCACAGAGATGTAATTGCTGATTCAAATCCCATAGTGGTAGAGGCAGTAAAAGTATAAGCAGTGATCAGAAAGATTAGGGTTTGAAGATGTTATGCAAGGAGTATAATCCAGTGAAATAAATTTGGAAAGAGAGAAGTTACCTATTAAAGATGAACTAAGGACTGTGTAAAACACTAATATTTACACGCAAAAAAGCTTATTTGTAAGGCAGTTGGATGGTATTAAAATAAGCAAATACTAACACAAACCAATTAAAAATTGTTTGACTGAAATAAAAAACTTTTTAGCTTAGTTTAGGAAACTAATATTTACATTCATTTGATGTTGCATTAGTACAAATAGCTAAGTTTAATACATATAAAGTTTTATCTATTTGTTAAAAAATGCCTGATATAAATGATGAATAGTATCATGATATATTGTCATTTATAATGTTTAAAAACAATAAGAAACCAGTTTGAATTTAAAGACCAAGCTGGTCTTTTGATGACTTTAGAATCCAAGAAAGATATTCCATCTCATTTGACAAACGTCAACTAAATTCCGAGGTTGATAACTTATAAGAGCACCCAGAATGTACACTATCATATTGAAAAAAAACAGCTTAGACGCCATCTTGTGTCAACATTCGGCATCATGATTAACTGTAATTTGTAGTTAGACGATAGCAGTACACAACTGAGACCCAATAATCAGGTCAAGTAATTCACTTAGAAAAACACTATGGTACAACCACAAAATACCATCAACTGATTTGTTGAGTAATTTTAAGTAAATTATGCAAAACATACCTCCTTACAGTCAGTTATTCCGATGACCGCTTTTTTTTAAACAAAAGCTTTTTTATAGTATGTTTTGAGGATAATTTTCACCATGAACGAGAATTATTTGGAGGATTACTAAAAGGAACAACTGTCCAGTAGTCCCATATCTCTAACGTATTTCGAAATGACGTCAGCTTATGATGAAAATCTTCACAAATAAAAGATATCTTTTACTAATAGATACTTAAGTAACTACGAAATCTCACAATGTATATTTGTGATTTATGAATTAAGGTTGTAGTTGTGAAGAATTTACTGGGGACAATTCTTTTTAAAATGATCTGACTTATTTACAGCTTTCGCAGAATGCAATCTTAATTTATTTAATCATTGCTCAGTCTGACTATTTTTGTTGGATTAATAAACCCAGTAATGCATCGAACAACAATGTTTTCGGAAAATCTGACTTTTATTTGAGAGCGAGTTTAAAATATGAATCAGACTGTTTTCGAATCAAGATTTGATCATTTTGAAAACTTTCACAATTATTTTGATAAGCTGAATTGCACGGTAGTGTAATCACAATATAGACGGGAATTATAATACTTGCCAAAATTATTTTAAGGAAAACAATTCAAATGTAAGCCAGATTACAATAATGATGGATTTATTATCTGTGATTTTCAAAGTAAGAATAAAAGTCTTACCATTTATCCGATCATAATTAGTATCATTTGTGTCTGTCATGTTTGTACAAACAACTGAGGCCAGAACTTGTGCGAAAATGATAAAATTGAGACATAAGAATGGTCTTCGCAATAAAAATGTGTCTGGTGTTCTACACATGAAATCAGCATTAATTGCTACAAACATATTTGAATGTCCCATGAACCCTGGATTTGAAAATAACAGAATAGCTAGGTATCGAAGAAATTTGTCTTGTGATTGCTTGTTAGGCAAATTGATGAAACCTACAAAAAAAGAGAGCTTAAATGCTTTTATGTAGACAACAAAGATATAGTTCTATGCGTAATAAAACACCATTGAGAAATCAAAGCAAATTAGTTCGAAAAGCAAACAGAATTTATGTTTTCCAGTTTTTTATCAGGGTGGGGATTTATGGCAATTGTAGTAGTTTTAATAGTCGAATCAATTAGTCGATCTAAGCTAGACCACAATTGAGAACCTCGAAGCTCTGGATATCTGTTCCGTCCTAGTATAAGACTCCTCAGCAGTGCGCATTCATGATCTCACGTGCTGGACTCGAACCCAGGACCCTCAGTCTTACGCGTGAGAAGCTGTTACTAGTGTGGTCCAATCCGTATCGGGTAGAGACAGATACCTACCTAAGACAGTTGATAAAGGGCTGATCAAGACCATGAATCGATTGAAGTTAGATATTAACACCATTGGGATGCCGGATCAGTGGTCTAGATGTTAAGCGCTTGCGTGCGAGACAGAAGGTCCTAGGTTCGAGTCCCGCATGAGGAATCGTAGATGCACACTGCTGAGTAGTCTAATACCAGTATGAAACAGGCATCCAGTGTTTTTGGTTTTATCAATATGGACAAAAAGATACAAAAGTAATAAAATGAAGAACACTATCAGACAGGCAAAAAATGTACCAAAAATAACCTAATTTAAAGACAATGAATATATTTGTACCAGTGTAATGTAGCCTCCCCATTAGTGTCACTCATTTTAAAACCTTACTAACGGACTTAATATTTTTGACCAAACATTTATGCGTTACTTAGACTCTAAATACTGAATGATTTTGTCCCATGTAAATGATACTTGAAAACATGGATGGTAGAATCTCGAAGGCGTTAATAGTCAACTATCATTTACAACGTCGCATTATCAGGTAGCAATTTTTTCATATAACCCAGTAACCCAGTACATACTTGTGTACATGATGTTGAGACACGTTAATGTTGGTAAGCGATTACCCAAATTAAGGGAGGTAGAGGAGGATTTAAACTACTGGCTCAATAGTTAATAGTCAAGTGTTTTAGTTACCAAACCACCATACTAGAACAGTGTTTCTTTAAAGAACATTCGGCAACTGGCAAGCATATGAATACTCTGTCGGCAATACAGATGGTCCCGACTGTTGAATGTAAATTGAGTCATATATATGACGAGATTTTGTCGTGGCAATGTCATTCGGACGAGTGAAATAGTCAAGTGCTCGAATCGTGAATTTTTTCGGCGTTTCCTCTTAACGAGAGAAAATAGTGACTAAAGTCTGGAAAATTAAATGATCCGGACGTTAGCTCGCTACAACTTAACACAAATTCAGACAATAACAACCACATATTCATTGACTGGTCTGTTTGTTTTTAATACTAAGCCCTTTACACTCAGTATTTATGTAACGATCAAATGCTTTGAAATTTTAGGCGATTCTTATATTACGAAGAATTTTGATACAATCCTACAACACGACAGAGTAAACTAATGAGACATACATGGAACTCTTGACTGTTAAAAAGAACGCACATCACCTTTACTAGTGTCACAGCGTTTGAGTACTAACCGTCAATGATCAACACATTATGGACAAAACAAATGACCAGTTATGAAGATCGGTCATTGCATTCAGCTTTGATAAACAGCAATGTTATATATTAATATGAAACAGTTCATATAAAAATATTCACAATTAAAATACTTGCAAAGTTCGGATGATTTCAAAGCCAATAACTTGAAAATTGCTGATGATGCTGGTAAAAACGGGATTCAATTACACCCCCTCTTAAGTTGTTAATTGAATTAATTCATGTTTGGCTAATTAAACCAAAATGAATTTCACAATAACATCCGTTTCTACTGCAGAAAAGTGAATTTTTCTTCCTCACAGATAAAATTATTATCAATACGTAGGCACAGTCGAATAAAGTATTACTTATAACATAATATAATATAAAACTCATCACAAACATCACATGAGTTTATAGAGTACAACACAAACAGTCTAATTAGATTGTCGATAACGTGCAATTACAGTAGAGAGACTCGATCAACGTCGAGGAAAATATTCACGGTGTTCTTAGTTCAGTAAGTCGATCTAGTAAAATGTATATCACATGTTTGTCATTTCGCACTCACTTGCATGCAAACTGAAAACCCAGCGATCATGATTGAATTGTGAAAACTAGAGCTGACTTTCACTAACCAGAAAATGTCACTACACTTTGGACCCTAGAAATATAATTCCACTGTCTAGACGTTTTAAGAATTATTTATTTTCAGAATGGGTTTGTGGAGATTTTAGAAATTTTCAGATTGGAATCATGAGTCAGTTGAAGCTAGACCACCGTGGAAAACCTGGAAGCACTGGACGGCCGTTTCGTCCTAGTATGGGACTCCTCGGCAGTGCGCATCCACGACTGACTTCAAGAGATACCCCTGGAGTTCTAGTGGGAAGCCGTTACCAGTGGAGTTCAACCAGGTTTGTTGTGAGATATCAGCTCACTGAATACAATGGTGTACGGTGGCGCAACTTCGTGGATTGGTTGAAGTTAGACATTAACACCGTTGGATGCCGGCTCAGTGGTCTAATGGTTAAGTGCTCGCGCGCGAAGCCAGTAGGTCCTGGGTTCGAATCCCGCGGGGTGTGGGATCGTGGATGCGCACTGCTGAGGAGTCTCATACTAGGACGAAGTGGCCGTCCAGTGCTTCCAGGTTTTCCATGGTGGTCTAGCTTCAACTGACTCATGATTTCAATCTGTGAAAATTATTTATTTATTTATTTGAACACATAAATGTTGGTACAAAGGGGCACCGAATACATATACGCCATGTCAGGAGATGCAGTCCCATGGTAGCCGGTGACCAACAATAGGTTCATACGCCATTTGTTCCTACAGGATAGTGGAGCCCATGTGCATCATTGGTTTGGAATCAGAGTTTTCCACCCACCCTAGATAAACCCTCTGCGTCCGCCAACCCAGTTAAAGAGCTAGATATTCGCTTTTGTCCTCTGAAGTTCGTAAACAACAGCCCTGCCACGAGAAGTGAGTAGAACTTCCCTGGCAGTAGCTGTATACACGTGGTCATGTGAGGGCATTCCGAGGGGGAGAGCGAACTCTTCCCACCCTCGGCCGTACCAGGGCATAGCCGAACTAAAAGGCAGGAAACGCCGGACTTGAGTAACATTTTGTCAACATTTTGACAAGATATTTATGATTAAAATTGATTCCCAAGTAATAAAGCATATTGTGGCAGTTAATAACTACATAAAACAGAAACTCAGCTCACTACTACTTAGGGTTATATGTTAAATCCCACTATTCCGACTATATATATATATATATATATATATATATATATATATATATATATATATAAAATTTTATTCTCTGCTATAGACAGAAAAGATTTTATAACCAAAACAAAGTTTTCATGGTTTTACAAACATAAAATCAGTGAAGTAGCGTTTGGACTAATAGATAACCCTCGCACACGCACTTTCATAGAATTATCAACCAGATTTAGACTGGTAATAATCAGCAAATATATCGAAATTCGTTAATGTAGGAATGATTTAGACTTTATTCACAAGTCGTTCACACGTGCGTTATGCAAGAGCAATAATTTTTAAACTTGAGAATCGACTTTCCTTTTGTACGCCTATAGCATCAGAAGCATACCTAGTCAACTTAAACTTTATTTTGATTTGGGTTCAGATTTTTCAAAATTATTTTTTGTGGTTCGCTGTATTCTTAATTGAGTCCTCGCACCTGCTATGATCGTGTACTTTTGTAGTTTTTTCTGGCAATCTGCTAGATTTTGCTCTATTTTTGTGATATTTTTTACATAGCGTAAGTGTTTTACAGTGGTCACTATATTCATTGATGTGGACAAACTAATCGTTTATTTCCTGAAATGTGATGGGTGTAACAAGTGATTTCATAAGATACGCATCCGTTTAACTTTAACTCCATATGAGACATGTTTGAAGAATGGAATGCTGAGCAATGGTGGGTAAACTATCGGTAATGACTTTAAAGTCACTTCATCCGAAGATCCGAATAGAACTGTTATCGATCGTCACAGTATGAAAGTCTCAAGTGAAGAGGAACGAAAATTGATGAGGAAGCAAAGGATTAAAAAAGACTGGCACGGACAGCTCACCAACCAAGAAATCTCCAGACAGCTTTCATTTTGAGTCACAGAATACCCTGTCAAAGCTCTAAAGCAAGATTACAAATACATATAACCATGAAGAAAATAGTCGAATTTCCCTGAAGATTATGGATTATTTGACTGAATCACATGACTTTGACCCTAAAACTCGGTACGCACACGATTTAAGTTGGAATATTTATTTGTACCATTTTGCCGAATAACTTACAAGAAGTTCAGACAAAAAAGCTGATAATAGGCAAGAGGTTGGATAAAATGTCGACTCCCGATCATGTAGACTCCCTAAGGTCATATTAAAGTCTTGGGCACCTAAGAATCGTATGTTAAAGAGTAGTCGAGAGGAGGATAACACGGATATTCAAATAAAATCTGATATATCAATAGAGGATAGGACCAGAAGGCTGCTCTAGTTGAGCTAGTAACTAGTTGAAAATAACGATAAAGAAAACATTCTTCTGGTGTGCTTTAGAGCACCTGGGTTTAAAAGTATTTCACAAAACTATATACCAAAATTCGATAGCTTCTTAATATACTAAGGAATGCTTTTGGGCCTGATAAACCTTCTCTTCCTTCCCTATTCGTTTAAGACAACGGAAACGACATAGCGGAAGAATTCACAAGCAATAAGCGGACAAAATACAGTTGACATACAGGTTTTCTCGTCTTCATCAAATCTTGGAGCATACTACCAGGAGAAACGGTGTCCATACTTTCAAATGATTCACTCAACAAAAGTTAGATATTCACAGGAGCTCGCTTAAAATGCCTAATATAGGTCAAAGACATCCTATCATCAACACAAATCTGAATTGAAATACGAAACGTACTGTGAAGCAATAAGGACCCCAAGGTCACGACTATTTGAAATTGCACGACTAAGAAATGAGCGTCCGTTTTCAATTAGACAATGTTAAAACACTCAACAAATTCTACAAAGTTAAGAACTTAGCAAAGTAATAAAGGTTCGTTATTATAATACTGAATGGAGGCACTTTTTCAGTACCAGGATTCTTAGTACAATAACGTTAAGGAGATTTAGTCTAGTATCCAATGATTTTGACCAGCTAATGTACATAAATTGGTTTTCCTATACCTTCTTCTTAGGGTTACATTACAGTCGCAAATTTTTGGTGTATTTAATGGTGAACAATTCAGCCCCTTGGTGACATCATTCCTGACGGATATGATAGTTATTTGGAGGCTTAAAGTTCTTGATTATGGACGGGTGTAGTTTGCATGGTGGGTTTTCTCACACTATCGGCTGTAAGCTTTTCTGGCCGTTGTGCAAAGGCTGCGAACTTAGATCCGGAGAGGTGAGAAAAAGATGCTGCTCAGAATGGTCAAGTAAACTGATGATGCAACGATCAAGAATAATCGAATTTTAAGAATGACATAAAACGGAATTAACTGGGATGAAGAGCTAATGACTATTATAATACTAGGAATACTAATCGTAGTAATGGCAGTTCACGGGATCTGCATTAGGCACAGCCGTTCCGCTTAATTCATCATTTTTAGCTTTCTTCTCGAAGCTCCCCATTGAGAGGGCTGTGGTGACGATTCCAGACAACTCCTATCCGTAGGAATATTTACTTGATTGGTTATTTGCCCTTTGATATGGGATTTTCCGAGTCACCTCATGAAGCTCAGTGTTGGGGTTCAGAAAGAATGCTTTCGTTGGGTTGATGGTGTCTTAAAATATCGTTATGATATGATCAAATCACTCAGAGATAACAATTTTAAGCAAGGATACCTAACCTCATGAGATCTGTCTTTCAATCCTATTACCCAATTTGTCTCCCGTTTCTGTATTTTCCATAAGAGATCTATACTTCTTATGAAAACATACTGTCATAAGCTTCTTTGGTGGATGAGTTTACATGTAACCCTGCACCTGTTTATCAAAATTATTTCATGTATACACTTTAAAGAACAATAGGTTCTTATCTTTAGCTTTAAATGCAATGTTTTTATTTCCATGGATTGTGTTTATTGTATTCCATTTGTTACTGCCTCTGAGTAAATTTGTTAGTTCTCATTTCATTTGTAGCCTGATTTTTGGCGAATCCGCTTACTTGTTCCTAAGAACTGAAAAAAGTTGACTACTATGTCAATTCTTTGTTGTTGGCGCCTGAACTGATTGAACTAAACGACTGTATAACGGTTTTCTTCTCTGATCGCTGATATTGGTTTTTATTTAAAAAGTAATCTTTTGCATTTCTTAAAGTTTAATCGCTTGATGTGCTTTAAAATTCTTTTCGGGACGACTTGTTGCTAAATAATTCTGTTGGCTGTATAACTTATTGATCTAATTAATTTAGTTTTGTATAATCCAAACATATAATCTGTATGATCAAAATGTTACCAAACTATCGTCTTTGGAATCAATTCATGAGTAAGGAATAGCGTCTAACAATCGTGATATGTTATGCCGATGTCTTGCTTTATCGGATTAGACGTAACTGGAAACTTCATCAAGGTGTATGGATCAAACCTTAACCTTTTAAGGCACCTGGAAATTCGCCGCAATAGAACGAGTCAATATAGATGTGACTGTGACGTAACTTCTATGCAAGGCTTGATAGATTTGTTAATCATGTCATGAAGAATCTGTAACTATGGAATAGGCCTATTATTCTAATAGCATATATGAGCGTTTAATACAGACGTAGACCATAATCGTACATTACTGAAATCGACTAAAGAAGCGTAGCACACTCATGTTAGCTATTTGGAAGTATAGTGCAGTTTTTCATGGCTGAGTTAAATCTATACTTTTCATAGTATATCAACCATCAATATTGCTATTGTCACTCTAAATGAAATAGTTTCACTTAAAGTGTCTTTATAAATAGTCATTTTATTACGAAATCAATTTCGGATCTGTACGTTTTACGAGTAAATTTGATTTTTTGTTTGTTGCACTTTTGGATCTAACAGTATGTGGTTTCACTTTTATTCTGATTATTAGGTTTTGTCCCCACATGTCTTTTGTGTCTAATTTATTTGAACATTATTAGCTGATGACTGGACAGTGCAAAAACGCAGTCTACACGAATCTAACGCCTGTGGCTTTTAAACAGATTAGTAAAAACGAGTGTGTGTGGTTGAGTCAGCGATGCTGCTGGAACTCCGTTAGTTTGATATCCAAAGCCATTAAAATGGTCCAGGCTGCTACCAGACATATTAGTAAGCGTAATAAAGATGGATCAAATAATACTCACTTTGGTGGTACAAAAATCTATTGAAAGTCCTCCTAAATAAGCTCAGAGTCGATTGACCTACATGAACCAAAGACTGAAGGGGCGACTTGAAATAGGTCTGTTAAAACTACGAACCCAGTAGAGAACGTTTCCTCTGTCCTTCGCCCTTCAAATAAAGACAGTTAACAAACACATTGCAAAGCTAATCGTAAAGTTAGGTCAGTTCTCAGCAGGAGAGACAGCAAAAGTCATAACCTAGCTACTCGAGTTGACAACAGTTCTTTGAGGTTTCACAGTGTATGTAATGTGACTGTGATTATAACTCCAGGGAAGAATGGTGAATGGATAAAAATTAAGTGTACGGGACGATCCGTCATAAAAAGAAGCACCAGTTTCTCTAACTATAGTTGAGAAGCCAAAGTCCGATTATAGCTCCAGGTCTGAGCCCAAAACTCTCTTAAAGAATGATATTGAGTTGACAAAAAATATTTAATTGGCTAATACATCAAAATATCTTTGGGGTCACATTGCAGAACGTTTATAGATTAAGTAGCCAAACAGACTCGGAACAAAACTAAACTAGGCCGCTGAAATGGTATTTAAGTCTTCTAATGAAAGGGACTTAGCACTACGAAATTGACATAAACAAAAGGGATCAGGAGTTACTACCTTACCATAAGAAAAAGCGGTAAGCTGAGGAGGAGCTAAAACCAAGATTAGGTGTCGGTGAAAATGACTTCAGAATCGTTATTAATAACGTTCCATGAAAGTTGCGTGTGAACAGGTTAGTTTGTGCTTGAAATCCAAAGACTAGAGCTGCTGATTGGTTTGATCTACATCAGTCAAACTGTGAAGTGAATGAGGTATTTCCAGATGGTTTCAACACCTAAAGTGTTTGACGTTTAATCCCAAGATACTTTAATTTACCTACCGTATGTTGGAGAAATCGGAGGACTGAATCGTCAGAAAATTCTTTCAAACAGAAGCTAGTTAACTCATTTTTTACATGAGACCTAGTGTAGTGTGTGAAGAAAGAAGATAGGTACGATCTGGATTCTAAATCTAGCTTACTAGATCTAATACTGACCCATTATTAGGATGACATCAAAAGCCTCGATTATATGTCACCTTTATTTAAGAGTGAACACAAAGTTCCAGTCTTATTTCCATATTGTTGTCAACAGCAACTTGTTAGCCCGAGGCAAACCAAACGTCATGAAATGTAATGAACAAGAAATTAAACACTCAACATTCTTACAAAATTGGACAACAGAACTAGAATCTCACACTGAAACGTCTTTGGCCGTATTCAGTGATACATCTTCTGGCTGAAGCCAAGGCGAGTTCCATTATTTGATCAGACGTTCTACTGTGTTGATGGTATTTGGTAGCATTTGTATATTTTCAATCAGACAAGCCGAACATAATGTTTCGCATAAACATCACACTCAAATCCTTTTTGGTTACAAGACAGATTCAATAGCTTCAGATGACAACATACTACCATGATAAACTATATTGTTTTCGGGAGAAGCACATTATGTTCAATATTTATTTGACAATTATTAGTACTGGTTACCGTTTCTACACATAAATATTACCAAATCTGTTTAGTCCCGTCATGTCCCTAATTTTAGTTCCACAAGTTATTTCTTAACTTTGCTGTTTTTATTGTTACATTCCACATCGACGTACTGGTCAACTTAGCTTACACCTACATAATATTTTATTTCTATCGTGTCATCTGAATTTCCCTATTATTTTAACCTCTAGTGCTATTTTTCAACAAACTCACCACAGTCCTTATGGCTGTGTGCATTTAATATTCATGAGATCGACTATCACATTGATTGCCCAACAAGACGTTTAACATAATTAAGACCATGGGCGACAATAAAGTCACAGCGCTGAAATATTACTGAACTGCACTAGTGTAATAACTTAAATATAACACAATTGTTCTCAATAAAAGTGCTCAAGTTAGAAATTCTACAGTGCACCTTTTAAATTCGCACTACGTAACGATTCCGAGAACTACCAGGTAATTCGGATCCATTAGTGCTACGAAAACCATTTTAGGTTTCTGACACTTTCAAATCAGTAAATGCCTACCTACTCTGAACCATTAACAATACTAAGCATATAAAACAAAACCACCGATTTTTTTCACTCGGTATTATAACAGATCATTCAGAATGGAATATAGGTATCGTCATAAAGTATTGTCAGGACTTGACAACCAAGCAATAATGTGATTGTTGTCGGTTTTGATTTGAAAATATGCTTACGTTCAAGCCAGGCTAGTCACCTGTTCTTGATCTGAGTTGTGTTAAAGTCCTGAGGAATAGACACTGGAGAGGTGTCTGGTGTAGATACTCATCCAAGGCAAATTGCCGTCGCTTTCATGTAGACGGAGAAAACAGAGCTTTGTCAAATTCAGCAACATGTAATCCCTCCGTTTCAAATAACCCGATCTTACCTAATGTCATGCTTGATACCTGCAACTGATTAGTATGCATCATCACATGGTAAGTACGAGCATGTATAATTAGCTTATTAAACTTTAGAACATTGAGTCTAAAGCATGTTTCCTACGAATGCACGCACACTCAACGAATTAACATCAACCGTCAGTCAAAAATTAACATAACCATCAACATTTTCACTCACTAAAAGGTTTTTTGGTAACA